TAATAATTTTAATTTTATTAATACTGGTATGATTTCATATTACGCGAACTTCAAAAATGGGCACAAAATTGGAAAATTGTTTTCAATCCTTTAAAAAGCTTAGCAATTCTTTTCACATTACGCAGACCCAAAAACTACAATACCCTACAGTTAACAGACAAAATATAGCTTGGTATCACAATATAAAATATCTTGGAGTATTATTAGACAAAAAGCTCACATGAAATCTTCGCATATCTTCCAAATTACAATAAGGACACAACGTTTAAAAATTCTATATCCTCTAATAAATCGTCAAATATCATTGAGCTGGAAGTGCTCATTATTGTTATATACACGAATCATCGTCCTCTAATTTTATATGCAGTCCCGGTCTGGGGGTAATGTGCAACAACTCATATAAACAAAATTCAAGTCCTACAATCTAAAGTCTTACGCGTAATTTAAAATGCCCAGAGTCACATTTAATGGGGGGGGAGGGGGGAACTGGCTACAAATGCCCTGGGTACTAGTTTTTTGGAGGCACCAAAATTTTGTGGTCGGAAATTTGCTTACTTGTGAATTATTGAACTTTTAAAATTATTTTGAAATTATTTTTTTTTTGTTTTTAATAATAGTATCATAAATTAATGTTAATATATTATGCTGTTTGGAATTTAAACAACTATGAATTAATTTATTTATAGCAATATAGGTATCAGCAATCCAGTATAATATTAATATACCTAATATTAGTTCCCAAATTTGTTGTGATGTCAATAAATATGTTATTTATAATAATACGGCGTATTATAATATCGTGTGCGGCGTGCGGTAGCGTGCCTACTACACAAGAATAGCATTGATTTTAGAATATCTAAAACAGTGGTTCTTAACGGGGGTGATACCACCCTCTTGGGGGCATTTTGGTCTCTCTGGGGGTGATAATTTTGAATGGGTCGCTGAGGGGGCGGTGAGCTTTTTCAAACTCGTAGATTAAAAATAATAATAATAAATCGTCGAGGAAGTATTGTTTGATACAAGTTTGATCACTGATACCAAAGGGTCGTTGATTTTTCAAACGGTGGAGGAATATTTTACCAGAAAAAATGTCCTCTTGACTAATATTATTGCATGCGCAATGGATGGCGCTCCTTCAATGACCGGTCATCATGTTGGGTTCATAGCCCACCTAAAAAAAGCCACCCCAGATATTATTTGTGTTCATTGTGTTATATATCGCCAACATTTAACTTCCCGTCAACATATTTAGTTGAAAAAGAATTCAGTGTTGTTGTTCAGCTTTTGACTAAACAAATAAATCAGTTAGACATTTACAACAAAGGTATGTTTAGCTTTAACCAATATCGAACTAGACATCCCCACATTAGCAACTACTCATCAGGCTTAAGGCAATCATATTTTATTTTATTTTTTTTCAAAGTTAAATCTTTTTGTAAAGTAAAGTCAAATTGTTTTGTTAAGTGGAGTAAAATATAACCATTACTAATTTTTTAAAATAAAAATTTTTACTTTAATTTAGTATACTGATGAATAAATAAATTTATATATTTATACTTACAGTAAGACAATTTAATTTTAAATAAGGGGGGCTTTAGCAGTAATTTATTACGATAAAGGGGCGCTGAACCAAAAAAGGTTAAGAACCACTGATCTAAAAGGTTCATGAGGATCTGTCTCCTATATTTTCCGTGGGTAGGCCCCTTAGAGAGGCGCCAATTTTTTTTTTGCTCTGGGGTGCAAAATGTCTAAATGTGGCATTGCAAATGTCTCATGGTTTGTTCGAAACGACGCACTGCACTCAAACTTTAAATTATCAACCATCAAAAAATACATCATGGAACTATCTTCTTCAGTCAACTACCAAAAGCAAGTGGTCCATGGCATTTTAGGCTGAATACCCGTTCAAACAGTCGTAGACTCCTACACGGCCGTCCTCACGACGTTTTAATACGCCCGATAAATTGAATAAATTTATTTTTAATGCTAAAACCAATCTATAGGTATCACAATACTTTTTTATTACTGTTTCCTGACTTTTTCATATTTTTCCAAGACTGATGATTAGATTACATAAATTATATTTATGAAGTTTTTGTTAATTTTATTCACTTTGAAACCAATACCACTTTTAATGGGGAAACAAGTAAATCTAAGAATTTAAAAACTAACCAAAATGCTTCAAATTTTAAAACGAAATTTATTTAATAAAAATGATTATGTTTGACAATAAAAAAAAAAATATTTACCTACATTTTTGGTAGGCAAATATTATAGGGGGGTAAATACCCAAAATATTTACCTACCCGTCGGGTATTTACCCCAGAAGATACATGTATACTACATTTACGAATTTTTAGTTGTCCAGCTATGCAGGGAGATTCCTCACTTTTATAAATTGGACAGAGCCTCGCAAACCATAGCGTCGGCACTGTTAACAATAAATTCTACTAACTTAGTACTTATATAATGTTAAACTAACGCTTTAAACGCAAAGTATATTTAATTTACTGATTGGTTGCTATTAATGGAACTACAAACAATACGGAAGAATATTTGTGAAATAAAAAATGGATTTGATTACATTTTTGCACAATAAAAATATTTAAACATACGGATGGGAGTTGGGAACTTATATTGTAACGGAGTGAACACATGGCGACACACAATTCAACATAAATGCGTGTATTATTCTTATTAATGAATGTTATCATGTTATAAACGTAATAATATTTATACACAAGTACAATGCGAGCGTTTTTCTGCAATCGAATCTGAAGCGTATACCAAAATACCACTGATTAGACAAAAACGGTACAGCTATAACACGTACTAATTATTAAAATATCGTGTTTGAAATGACGCACACGAAAAACATAGATAACGATTACAATATTAATTGCGGCAGAAATGTTTTCGCGCCACTGTACCGTTTTGTTAGACTACTATCCATTGTAATTATTGCATTATTTGTTCTACTATTTTTTAACAACAGCGTGCCGAATATATAATATACCGATCGATTGCAGCGTTTTATGACACGCGTATACTACACGTTTCGGCGTACGGGCGTAAGAATGACACGGAATCGCGAGAAAACGGTGGGGGCACGGATGTACGGGAGGGAGTGGTCGGCGGAGACGATTTCGAGGGCGAGGTGAAATAACGATGTGCCGAAGGGGGCAGTGGACCCCCCCCCCCCCGAACAGAAACGACGGCGAGGCCGCCGCGTACATAGGGGGTGTCACGAGCGCGATTTCCGAAAGCTTTACGGGTGTACGGATAGTGAGTGAGGGAGAGAGAGAGAGAGTGAAAGAGTGAGAGAGGGTGAGATGGTGAGAGGGAGAGAGAGAGAGAGAGTGAGTGAGATAGTGAGTGAGAAAGAGAGAGAACGAAAAAAAAAAAATCGAAGCGTATGCCCCCGCGAAGTGCACACACGTTATGGCGTGGGTGCGTGCGAGTGGTGCCGTGGCAGGTGGGCACGGGGCGAACGTGTAGAAATCGCGGTTTGCGGCGGCGGCGACCGTTGAAATGTCGAAACGGCGATCGAAACGCGCGGCACCTACCGCCGCCGCCGGCACGACGTGTGTTGAATCGCGCGCGGACGGCGAATAAATACATCGCGAGTGCGCGGCGGTGGCGGCGGTGGAGGCCACGTAGAATCGGGCCCGCGGCGGATATTCTCTTCGGAGACCGTTCCGGCCAGAAGAAACCGACCTGTACGTTGGTATACCGAACGTGTACTGCGCGGCGGCTACCGGCCCCCACCGCCGTGACGGGACCCCTCGCGTCCTACCAAAGCTCTCAGACACGCGATATAATTATATAATAATACGTATGCGGTGCGTGTAGCGCAACTAGGGTGGTGGTTGACGATTGTGACTCCCCTTCACCTCGAAATATGTAGTTAACCTAACTTTACCCCGTTCTCAACACCGAACACCTTTTGAAATGAAATTTTTTTCAAACGTACAACCTCCCTCCCATCCGAAAATAAATCCTGATTGCGTCTTTGCCGACGTCTATTTTCGACAGAAAAAATATTCCATGGCAACGCGATTAATCACCTGTGTGTTGAGATCACTCGCTGCAGAATACCGAAATCCGGAACGGAAGGACCGACTAATCCGTCGGAACGGTCGTGATTCGCCGTAAACGTGACACGACATGACCGAAAATTACGTAGAGCTCTTGGTTTATTTTTACGCGCTAGACTTGGGGAAAGTATTCGCACCGCCTACGCGGTCGAGCTTGCGGCCGCGACGCGTGCTTAATATTCCACAGGGAATCGGGGTGACCCTCATTCCCGTGGAGTTCGGATACTTTCAAATGAAACTCGCTGTCATGCTCGCAGCCCACTACTGCTCCCGTCAACACGAGCCGGTAACCCTTCCGAATGTTACGTCCGTACGTGACGGATCACATCATCGTCGTCATCACCGCGGATGGACCGAACGGTGATTGACGCGCCGATGACACGAAATCGTTGTGAACACATTCGTATCACGTGAAGTCGTTGATTCGCCGAGAATCTGTCGACTGTACCTACGGCCGCGGAGCTGAATGGCTGGTGAGTAGCGCATACGCGTTACGTTGCGGCGGCGGCGGTTGCGACGTCACGAATTCACGACGACGACCACGGCTGCCGCCTCCGCGTGCGATACGATTGACGTTACACACGACGAGGGCGTTACGCCGTCCACGCGCGCGGGGGTACGTACGCAGTACGTAATGTACAACGCGGTATAAAATAGTAGTAATAATAATAATAATAATAATAATAATAATAATAATAATAGTATATTGTGTATACGTATATTTACTACGATGTTGTTTCGTTTTGCGCTGGCGCGCTCGTCGCGCCTCGCGCGGCGGCACTTCCACGACACCATTGGCAGCACTGCCGCGGGCCGTCCTTCGACCGCGAGTTACCCGCGAGCCGGTCACACTGACGCCAATACGTCGATATAAAACGGAATTTCTTGATAAAAGTGCCTCCGACATTTGCAATTTCAGTGCGTTTTGACCAGTTTTAATTCGTAAAATAGCGTAAAACGTCGTCCGAATACGTTTGCGTACTGTGTCAGCGAACGGAACAGCCGTTGCTAATTTTCCGTGATCCACGGGCGCCAATTTGCACTATCGATAGTTGAGCGCGAGGAACAATCGTTGACCCGACCGCCGATGGCTGCCCCCGTTCCCCGTAGATCTATCACGTCCCGTGAGTGCTTTATTTACATCTAGTTTTGTTGTCGAAAATTATATTTCCCGTGCTCGAATTCGCTGTTAATTCGTCGCGTTAACCGTACCGAACCGTCACAAATCGTCGGCGTACCGCGCAACGTGTCCAGGGACGCATTCCAACGGGCCGCCGAAGTGTATACCGTTGCCGCTTATCGGCCGCAAACATCGGCTCGGATCACGTTAATCTCGGACACGGTGAGTACGCGGTTCACGACCGCGGCAGCCTACTTTTTAACCATTTTGTTGACGGCCGTGTTTACATTGTGCACGAAATTTTTTCCTGCAACCCCGTCAAAACTGTGCCCTCCCGACCTGTGGTGGCTTCTTTCCCGTCCTGTTTTTGACGTTTTCCGTCATATTTTTACACCGCCCGACCATTTTTCACGACCCCCACTCGCATTTATCACTTTTTCGGCGGTGCCCCTGTAGTCAATTATCACTGTCCGAACCGTACCCCTAAGAGTCCGAGACCCCCGTACACTGTCCTTCTACGATTTTATAGCCGTTTCACGTTGTTCCGGACCCCCGGACTCATTTTTACACTCTTTTTTTTAATAACTTTTTTCCATTTTTACACTCTTTTATAAATTTTTCCCATTTTTCCACTATCATACCATTCTGATAAAGTTTGCCATCACTGGTTTTCCAGACTTATTAGGCTGATTTCAATTTTTTTGTGACTTAATATTGTTCAAAAATGATTTTCACGTCCTTTTCACTCCTTATTATCCCAGATTTTCTTTCAAAATGTCCAAAATTATTTATGAAACTTTTTTTAAACAATATCTTTTTATAAATTAATATTGAAACCTTCCATATCTTACATGATTTTTCAAAAATTGTCAGGAAAATGTCTTCTATATATGTTTTAAATATTCTAATAAAAAAAAAAAAAACTTATATTTTTAACAGCCACAGACCTATTTTATTTTTTTTTTTTAATGAGGAATTATCCTTAAATAGAAAATAATTTTTTATAGATTTTGATTACTATATAGGTATAGTTAAATTTAAATTTATTTCTAATATTAATATGAGGTATTAGTTAATATTACTAATTAAAAAAATATATATTATATGGTTTTAAATATTATTTGCTTATAGTGATTTATACATTTTTCTATTTAATGATAAAAATGTATTTATGTAACAATTATTATGGTTCTGAATGTTTGTACTTTTTTTTAGAGTGCATATTTTTATTGAATCATTGTTTTTGTTTACTACAATATATCTGTTTCATAGCATAAGTTTAGCCTAATATTTACTTTTTAGTGTACTAGTTATTCCATTCATTTAAATGTATAATAGACTTAAGTTTTAATTATAAAATGTAATGAGCTGTATGATTTAGTAATATTTTTATTGGTCTCATAATAATATAGAATCTGAAAGGAATATATTTAGAATACTTGCAATTTTGCAATTTGAGTATTTTTTTTTATAGACATAATTTTGGACGAAAAATGTTTATTTTCCTTGACTTTTTAATTTAATAATTGCCTATCTAATCAAAAGTGCAGTGTAAAAAAAAAAGTATTTTATAAAATTAATAAATATAGTTTTAACTAATTGTCCATGCTTATTTTAATATATTTACTATGAGTATTTATCTATTTAAATTAATCTAAAACTGTAAAATGTTGTCAAAATATTTCAGTAAATAAATTAAAAATTGCTGAGTTTTTTATATTTGTACCTACATATACATAGGGTATTATAATTGTTATTATTTTTTTTTTTATATAAATATTTTTTATTATAAATAATTTTAATATTAAATATATATTTTTATTATTCTTCAATTTATATTTTTAAAACACTTAAAGTCTTTTAAAGATTCATGTTGCATCTCTGTGAATTGAATTTTGGCAATGAAAATAATAATTTAATATACTTTGTAATCAAGATAGTTGATAGTTTTAATTGTTAATAATAAATCATCAAATGTCATCTTATATTTACTTAATTTTAACGAAAAGTTAATCAATATTTTTATTAACCTAGCTTTGTAACAACTTTTAAATCATAAATTATTATATATCTATTTGGAGGCATATTGAAATAAGTACTTTATATTGGAACATGTGTCTATTTTATAGTATTAAGTTCACTAGTGAGTAGAAAAATGCTTTATATTGATATTTTAGAATATGAAGATAATTAGCTGCAAATAAAAACTAATTGAGCTTCTCTATATTCTTTCTATCTATTGTAATTTTATAACTGCCATCCCTTAAACATTCATAATGACTGCAGTTTCTTATTTTTATGGAAATGTATTATATGTTTTAAGCAATTATAATTCATATATTTACACCACACGCACATATACATAGATATATTTATGTTGTTATTTATTGGTACCATTTGTTTACTGTACAAGTATAAAATAATACATTTGAAGTTATATTTTGTTTATGTTAGGTATTTATGAAATATAATTGACTACTTTTCGTTATTATTTTTCTAATCAAATTTAACAAGTACCTAATAAGAAAATAAATATTTTTAGGTTTATTCTTCTACATTTGGCTGACACAACAAACATGTTTTGACCTGAATTATGTAATCGGCTTCAATTAGAATTTTTGTAAGTAATTTTTTTATTTTTCATAAATAAGTTGAATGATTTTTTGTAATAATTAACGGTGCAAACAATATAAGCAAGATGTCTAGTAATTGGGTTTATGTATCATGTTTTATTTTTATTAAGTGAAATTTCAGTTTCTATGATTATTTCACTTTCTAAAATATTACAACCTATTTACATTTTTTTTGTTTAACTTTAATTTTTAAAGTTGCAAATAAACTATGTACTAGATGTTGATTGATATAAGAAAATTATTTTTATCAATACAATAGTTACTAAAACAAAATATTTAGTAGGTAATTAGTTACTTTCATTCAAATTGTAAATTAAGTTCAACATTTTTGTAATTAATATGTAAAAATAAAAATAAAATATCTAAAACATTTGTTCGATTAGAATCACATATTATTATACAAAAAAAAAAAAAAAACTATTCTAATGTATTCATGTAAAAATTAAATTTATTAAATATTAGATACTTAAATCTGTAATTAACTTTGTTGCCAATTTATAATTTTATTATTATAAAGTATTTACCATTAATTATTTGAATAACTATTTTTAATTTTAAAATTTTTTGTAAAATAGGAAAAAATTTACTTATTTTATATACTCCCAGTATTAAAAAAATATTTAAAGATATCAAAGTAATTAATATATATTTATAAAAATAATTATTTATACATAATAATTTATATCATATCTTGGAATACTTGGATTTTAAGTTTTTATAATATCTTTGAAATTAACAAGTGAAGTTATTATAAATAGTTAGGGTCTCTGTTAATATTTATCTACTTAAAATTATAAATGATATAAGATAATTTTTTGCTTATATAATATCTATCAATTACCAATTATATATTTTATATTAATTCATTTTAGATTGAACTACCAATCAGTTGTTGAAAAATTTGAAGTATGCAAAAACCAAGGTGATAGATACAAATGAAATCTTCAATAATCAGTCTCCGACAGCTTGTGAAATGGCTAGTATTAATATATGGTTGTATATCACATACTGCTTAATTATGTGACTACGAATTCTGTTAATTCTGTATAACTCAATTTGAGTTTTTAAAAATATAACATATTATGTGACAGGTTTAGGATATAGTGCAATTTTTCTCAATATGTAAATGTTGTTACTAGTAATTATTTACTAGTTATTATAAATTTTTAAATTCTAAAATTAAATATGGCTGACCTCATGGTGGATAGTCCTCCAAACAAAAAGCCGAAGTTGGAAGATCCATTCCAAGGATCTTCAGACTCGTCTGGTGTTTATTCCAGCAATGAGATGTTTGATCTCGAGAATGAACTCCCCGATGAGCTTATTAGTGCAGCATCTTGGAACCAACAACCTGATATTAAGCAAAATCTTGGTCCTCAGTTGCCATTGCAAAATGGTATGCTTGTTCCACAAAATAATCCTCAGCAGCAACTTCAACAACCTAATATTCATCAACGATTAGTTGTGAGTCAACAACAATTGGCACACCATTTTATGGGTTCCAAACATCTTGTATCTGGTGCTGGAATGTCTATGAACAAACCAATAAATCCCAATATGCCATCACCTAATGTTTTGGTCAGTAAAACTGGAGAACCAATGGTTGTCAATATGGGGAATACAGGCCTTAATTCCAATCAATTACAAAATAGTATTGGAATGCCAAATGTGAATATTATGATGGGAAATAATTTGGTTAATAATTCTATGCATAATCCTCACCATGGTATACCTCAGCAACAACAAAATGGTCCTATGATGGGAAGAAATATTGCAATGCATCATCAACAACAAATCCGTAATCAGACTCACCAACTTCATAATTTGCCAATGAATACTCAGCAGAGGTTACCAGCTCCAATGGGTGCAATGAGTCCAGTAAATAACTTCAATGCATACAACCAAAATAATCAACAAATTAATGTAGTTCAACAGCAACCTATTGGTATTGTACGGCAACCTGTGCCAAGATTCAACGCCAACACAAATGGAATGTTGGTAGAAAATTCGGTTCCACCTCAGCCTCAAGCAAATATTCGCCTAGGACAACAACAAGTTAATATGGCTAATCCAAATGTAGTTGTACCACCTCAAGGAGTACCTGCTGATCGAAGTCAAGCTAATCCAGAAAAAAGGAAAATGATAACCCAACAACTTGTATTATTATTACACGCACATCAATGTCAGAGACGAGATAATCAGGCTAATGGTGAAGTAAGACAATGTCGTTTGCAACATTGTAATACAATGAAAGGAGTACTAGCACATATGACAAATTGTTTAGCTGGCCGAAATTGTAATGTAGCTCACTGTTCATCATCTAGACAAATAATATCACATTGGAAACAATGTACTAGACCAGATTGCCCAATTTGTCAACCATTAAAAGCATCATCAAACAATCGCAATGCTTTAGCCAATAATACAACTCAAAATACTACTGGAATGAATGAAATTAATTGTTATAATACTGTTAATAATCAAGTAAATCAAGTACCGGGAGTTCCAAATAATGTTGGTATAAGGACAACTCTACAATCTCAAATTTCACATCCTCCTAATAACAATGTTTTAACACCTAATCAAAACACACGAGTATTAGTTCCGCATTCACAACCTCAAGCAACAACTACAATGAATACTGATCCCGGAACGAGTTCTGTAAATGATATGCTTCAGTCTGTTTCTAACACAACTGTACAAGCTCCATCCAACATTCAACAACCTGTGACAAATATACCAAATTCTTTCATAATGACAACTAGTACTGATACTATGACTACTCAGATGAACAATCAAGCACAACCAAGTCAGTCAATTCCAGGAAATCATATTGAAAGTAAAGAATGGCATGAGTCTATTACTCCTGAATTGCGAAATCATTTAGTACATAAATTAGTACAAGCAATTTTCCCTACTTATGATCCAAAAGCAATGCTTGACAAACGTATGAATAATTTAGTGGCTTATGCTAGAAAAGTAGAAGGTGATATGTATAATGTCGCTAATTCTAGGTCAGAATACTATCATCGTTTAGCCCAAACATTTTATAAAATTCAGAAAGAATTGGAAGAAAAAATGCAAAAGCGGAAAGAACAACAACAAATGCAACAACAGCAAATGGGAGCTCAGCAACAGACTAATAATATTAACACACAGTGCTTCCCAACTACTCAAGGACTGCCTACACCACAGCAACAGCAAACACAACCACAGCAACAACATACTTTACTTCATACTTCAATTCAACCAAATCAGCAAAACTTGCCCCAACAGCAAGTAGTAACGACATCTGGCATAATGAAGACACAATTATCGGACAGGGTACATTTTCCAATTACTTCACCTGTACCTGGACCCAGTCCAAATACAAACTTACCCCAAACTACTTTTGGTTTGACTCAACCACCTGCCCAAAGTCCAATCAACACTAGTCAGTTCCCATCTAACTCACAAATGATACCAAACATATCTCAAGCTTCATTCGCTCAACCTCAATTCACAAATCAATCAATGAATCAAATACCTCAACAACTACATTTACAGCAACAACAACAACAACAACAACAACAACAGCAGCAACAACAACAAGTACAACAGCAACAAGTGCAACAACAACACTTGAATAATCAAATGTTACAACCAAATAGGCTTAACCAAATTAATATGGATAAAATGGTTAATGGACCTAGTTTGATAACTACCAGCTCTATGGCATCAACTCAAAATGTACCGGCAATGATGCAGAACAGCATGGGTAAAGGATATCCAAGATCTGAACCATCATCAATTAGTCATTCAAGTCAAATGAATGCTATCGCTGCTTCGGCTTTAGCACAAGATGATTCTCCCAAAGATGTTAAAGGTGAAATAAAAGAAGAGTATGATGACAGTAATGATGGTAAAGGAGCTTATGGTAAGGGTAAAATGAACTCTGAAACACCATCAGACTCTGTGAAGTCTGAAATGAAACAAGAACGTGATGATAATGCTTCAAGTTCAATAAAAATGGAAATCAAAATCAAAGATGAACCAATGAGTCCCAAACCAAACATCACAACAGATATTAAACCTTTTGAACCAACTCCATCAGACAGTAAAACAGCCATAAAAAAATGTGTATTTAGACCTGATGAACTTCGACAAGCATTAATGCCCACTCTTGAAAAACTATATAAACAAGAACCAGAATCAGATCCTTTTAAACAACCTGTTGATCCTCAAGCACTTAATATACCAGACTATTTTATTATTATTAAAAAACCAATGGATTTATCTACAATTAGAGAAAAACTTAATACTGGTCAGTATTCAGACCCTTGGAGTTATGTTGATGATGTTTGGTTAATGTTTGAAAATGCTTGGCATTACAACAAAAAATCTACTAAAGTTTATAAATCTTGTACAAAACTTTCAGAAGTTTTTGAACAAGAAATTTACCCAGTCATGAGAAGTCTTGGTTATTGTTGTGGTCGTAAGTACACATTCAATCCACAAGTACTTTGTTGCTTTGGCAAGCAACTGTGTACTATTCCAAGAGATGCCAAATATTTCAGTTTTGAAAACAGGTACATTTACTGTGTTAAATGTTTTAATGATATACCTGGTGATGCTGTGACATTGGGTGAAGATCCTACTCAAGCTCAACAAGTGATTAAAAAAGAACAATTTATGGAAATGAAAAATGATCATCTAGAATTAGAACCATTTATAATGTGCACTCACTGTGGTAGAAAACTACATCAAATATGTGTTCTTCATAACGAAAATATAAATCCACAAGGATATGTTTGTGATAACTGTCTAAAAAAACGTGGCGAAAAACGGAAAGAAAATAAATTCAATGCTAAAAAATTGGCTATAACAAAATTAGGTACATATATTGAAACAAGAGTGAATAACTTCCTAAAGAAAAAAGAAGCCGGTGCTGGTGAAGTTGCTATACGTGTTGTATCTAGTTCAGATAAAATAGTTGAAGTGAAACCAGGTATGCGAAGTCGTTTTGTAGAAAGTGGAGAAATGATAGGAGAGTTCCCTTATAGGGCTAAGGCTCTTTATGCATTTGAAGAAATTGATGGAACTGATGTTTGTTTCTTTGGTATGCATGTCCAAGAGTATGGGTCTGAAGCTCCATCACCAAATACAAGAAGAGTTTATATTGCATATTTAGATTCTGTTAACTTTTTTAGACCAAAACAGTATAGAACATATGTTTATCATGAAATATTACTTGGTTACCTTGATTATGTAAAACAATTAGGATATACTATGGCTCATATTTGGGCTTGTCCTCCATCTGAAGGAGATGATTACATATTCCACTGTCATCCACCTGAACAAAAAATACCAAAACCAAAACGATTACAAGAATGGTATAAGAAAATGCTAGATAAGGGTATAATTGAACGGATAATTCTTGACTATAAAGATATTTTGAAGCAAGCTATTGAAGATAAATTAAGTTCAGCTGCTGAATTACCTTATTTTGAAGGTGATTTTTGGCCTAATGCATTAGAAGATAGTATTAAAGAACTTGATCAAGAAGAAGAACAAAAGAGGAAACTTGCTGAAGTTGAAGAGTCTGTTGAAATGTGTGTAAGTGATGAAGTAGAAATTGGGCCTGATGGAAAGAAAAAAGGATTGCAGAAGGCCAAAAAATCTAACAAATCTAAGTCAAGCCAGAGAAAAAGTAGTTCAAAGAAAACTATGTTACCTCAAACGAGCAGTGACCTTTCAGCCAAAATTTTTGATAATATGGATAAACATAAAGAAGTTTTCTTTGTAATTAGATTACACAGTGTACAATCTGCAGCTGCTCTGGGAGGAATACAAGATCCGGATCCCTTAATAAGCTGTGATTTAATGGATGGAAGAGATGCATTTTTAACTATGGCCCGAGAAAAACATTATGAATTTTCATCACTTAGAAGAGCCAAGTTCTCTTCTATGGCTATGTTATATGAACTTCATAACCAAGGGCAAGACAAGTTTGTTTACACTTGTAATAGTTGTAAAGCACATGTAGAAACCAGATATCACTGTACTGTTTGTGATGATTTTGATTTATGTATTACTTGTTATGAGAAAGAAAAACATCCTCACAACATGGAGAAACTTGGTCTCGATTTGGATGATGGATCATCTCCTGGTGACCAAAAACAAGCAGATCCTCAAGAGGCAAGAAAATTATCCATTCGTCGGTGTATTTTATCACTTGTACATGCTTGCCAATGTAGAGATGCAAATTGTCGCTTGGCAAGTTGTCAACGTATGAAAAGGGTTGTACAACATGTTAAACTCTGTAAAATTAAATCCAATGGGAATTGTCCTATTTGTAAACAATATATTGCCTTATGTTTCCATCATGCTAAATATTGTACCGAAGGCAAATGTCCAGTGCTGTTCTGTCCGAATATGAAACACAAGATTAAACAACAACAACTACAACAGAGATTACAACAAGCACAATTGCTACGAAGGCGTATGGCTATTATGAATACAGGTACTTTAGGGACAGAAAACACTGCTCCTGTTGTAGCTTCACCACATATGGCCAATCAACCAAAAATGATACCTCACAAAGGGCCAGTAATGGTTCCAGGAAAACAAACACCTCCTGCTAATGTTTTACAAGTAGTGAAACAAGTACAAGAAGAAGCGGCTCGTCAACATGATAATGTTGGATATGGAAAAGGTGGTCCTCAACCACAAATTCAACGGCCGCTCATGCATATTGCCCCACCTGCTCCACAACAAGTCAATCAATGGGTTACTGATCCTAATTACAGTCAAATGATAATGCAGCAGCAGCAGCAGCAGCAACAACAACAACAAGTGCAACAACAACAGCAACAAGTGCAACAACAGCAACAAGTACAACAACAGAGACAAATGAACATACAACCTCAACAACAAATGATACTTAATAACCAACAAAATCCAATGCTTCAACAACAAGTTATGGCTGTTAGACCTCAAGGGTATCAACAAAATCCTAATCAACCACAGAATCAATCTTTGCAACAGTTACTTAATGCATTGCGCACTAACAATGATAGTCAACCTGAACAGCAACAACGCCTTAGAGAGTTATTGAGGAGTAATCCACAGCTGTTGGCTCAATTCATCAGAAACCAACGGCAAAGGCAAATGTTCCAACAACAGCAACAGCAACAAGGTGGTACTATTGCTCCTCCAATGTATCCTCAACAAATGCAAGGACAACAACAGCCTGGGCCACAGGGCCCTAACCAGCCTCAATCAAATATGCAAAACCGAATGCACTTATAAAGTGAACAATTTTGAGCTTATTTATAATAATGGTATTGTTTTTGTTGTGTACATTTATGAATGTAAATATGGCAGCTTAAAGTACAAAATAATAATTTTGTATTTTAATTTAATCGGCCGTGTTGACTTATAAATTTTTGTACATTTGTTCTGCTATTCGTTGTTATTTAGTTAGAAAAATATAGTTAAGGATATCTTCCTTAACATTTAACCATAAGAAAAACATTTATAATTTCCTACTTTAGTAAAATAATATTTGTTGATTTTTCCTTCTGTACAGGAATAATAATAATATTAATGTATGATATTTTATTTACAATTTTGTACTCCTAGACATTCTGTTTTTATTATTATTATTATTATTATCATCATCATTATTATTATTATTATTATTATTATTATTATTATTATTATTATATAGAAATATTATTTTTTAAGGGATATATTATTTATAAATGGGGAATTGACAACTAGATGGTCTAATCCAATAACTTATTTATTCAATTTTTTTATACACATAATTAAATCCTTAACAGCTTTTCTAAGACAGCTGGTGAGGCTTCTTATTTGTCCTTAGTCTTTAAATAATGAAACTTAAGATTTTTTGTTTTTTTTTTATAATATTATATAATGTAAGTTATACATTTAAAGACATTGAGGAACGTTTGAGTCCGATAAAAAATATAAATATATAGGTATATATTTATGTACGGAACTAGTCTGCTTAGTCAGACTAAATATAATGTTTATTAATTTAGAATGGATTCTGTAATAAATTAATGTAAGAAATTGATATAAATATGTTATACATAGTTGCATAAAGTTGAAAAAAAACATATACATATATTATTGACTTTGTAAATAAATTGAAACCATAAAATAAGACAATTATTATACAAATTGATTTTAAGAATAATTGTTTTTATTTAACTATACATTAACCTTTATACACACATGAAATTTCATCAGTGGATGATCTCTTCTAACTTGCACGCCATATAGCCAAACAACACACATTATACATGCTTATTATGCAAAATAAATTTACTGAGTGTGTATTCAAAATATTAATAAACCAATAACAATTAGTTGATCATCTCACCTGTGATGTTAATATTATGCATTTACAACAGAATATTTATCATATCTCTTAGTCGACCTCGACAATGTAAATTTCTGTCTATATAAATTTTGTCATCAACTTTAAGAGTCTAAATACGGTTTTATTTATTAGTTGAATTATAGTAAAGTTAACTTGATAATCACTTGAACTCTGTAAAAATATTGTAAACAGTCTTTCATTAATGTTTATTAATTTGAAGAAATTAAATGTAAACCATTAGTGAAAATAATTAACTACAACCAAAAATCAACAAGGATAATATCTGCTGATAAGTTTTTGTTTAGATAAAGCACCTTTTTAAATATATGATTTAAAGATTTGTTTCTTAATTCAAGTTTTTAAAATTAATTAGTAGTTATATTTATTTTGAAAAATATAGGGTACAGATATTTATTGGCATGATTGCTATATTTGAAGTTGCATCATTTTTTTTTCTCTAATATTTTTAAATGGAATTTATCTAAATATTAACATTGATTTTCTGAAATTCAATGATTAGGTATAAAAAAAAAATTTAATTTATAAAAATTATTTACGTTTTTAATTGCGTCAATTCACAATGACCAATGTGTAACCGAACCATGTTAAAAAAAAAAAAAAATTATAAACGTGAACCTACTATTTAGAAATGGTATATTTTGATATATTTTCCGGAAAAATGTCTTATTGTTCTAAAACAGAAAAAATGGCCCCTAATAGGGTCATGTTGCCATGGGTAAGTGCCAAGTAACAAACGCATTATGAATGTGCGTATTTATTCGGCATGAAAATATCGTGCGTGAAAACAAGTCGAATTACGGAAGTCACCGTTGGAAGGGTAAAACAATACAAATTAATACACACTAATGTGGGTGATGATACTTATTGAAGTTTACTAAAAACCATCTCCTTGGGAATGGTAGGTATGTTGTTGCGCAACATTCGCGTTATGACGTGGCAAATAAAGAAAAACAGTGCAGAGAACTGAGAGAGTACACTAATCTTTTTACAGGTGAATGACTCCAGCCTAATATTTATGGTAGATGTTTCGCCGTCAACGCTTAAAACTAACGTATTGATAAACGTCACATCAGAATACGTACATGCAGTATATTATCAACACTATAAGCAAATCCTTCGTGCATTTTGAATATCATTTAGGTAATTGATATCGAATTGTTTTATTTATTAATTTTTTTTTTTTTGTACCTGTATACAATATACATATTTCCATTGGTATAAACTAAAATTTGAACCTTAAACTGCCGTTAGGCGTTTTAAAACCAAAATACAAATATTGTAAACAAGAACTATGTAAATATTAATAAAAAAAATAAATATTTTAATTATTAATAAACAACGTTTGCATATTATATTATTCCCATGACTTAAAATTTCACAATACATTATACAATATTATTGCATTATACAATATTGCTATATTACGAGCAATAAGAAATTTAAAAAATACCTATCTCCAACTTTGTTTTGCACAATTAAAACGTATACCTAGTAGCTTAGGGTACGAACGCTCATTCCTTATCGTAAATATTCTAAAGCCGGTCCGACGCAACTCGAGTACTTTGCAAGCGTACACTCGGCGAGTGTACTTGCCATGTTTGTAATTATGTTGCTCCTACACGATTCGTGTGCTCGCCGATTATTCGTCAATTGTATATACTTTGCTCGTCATCGCCAATGCACGTACACGACTCATGATATTAACAATAAATAATAGTCTATTTTGGGGGAAAATCCAAGATTTATTTTACTTGTAAATTTCGAGTCTGAATTAAAGAAAAAATTTGAGTTGTGTCCCCCTAGAAGTAAGTCTAAATACGCCCCCGATTCTATATAACAAATCTATATTTCTAAGCTCATGTTTATGTTTTCACTTCTTACGATGGTCGCCCTGATACTTTCCGGTTTTTTGTTTAAAATCAATAATTTCGTATTGCAGTCACGGTAAGGGTCAATGAAAGAAATATTGAAAAATATACTGGACGTGACTCAAGACAGAAATAATATCACTGAATTCCGTAGGTAGTACCATCTAACATATTGTGAGGGTTTGAACTCGTTATTTATCTGTATAAACTATTAGTAATACACTCGTACAGTTAAATCTCTGAAATATGAACACAAACAATTCATTTTAGATATAGAATTTTCAAATATATTTACGTATGTACAAATAGATTATAACAATAATCTATAATTTAATATTTTTCGGCTAAAAAAATGTATAAAAAGTGGAAAAAAAATTTATATTTGTGGCATTGTCAAAAACATTCGAAACAAATCACAATATCCCGGAATAAGGGCTCCCGACTGTTTAGGGCTCAAATTAATACTAGTAGGAATTTAAAACCAAAAAATTTACCAGACCTATGCTTATGTGTTTTATGTATAAATGATGTCCCAAATGCTGTCCGGCTAATAATCGTGACTGTGACGAGTGGAGGGGTATGATAGAATACTTGAAAATTATTGCAATATTAATGAAAAATTAATGGAAAAGCTGAGTATTGATTTGAGTTAATTTGTTTCTTAGATTTTTCTAGCTATAATAAATTGTAGAGGCTATATTTAAGTCTACGATTTACGTATTTACGAGTAGATATATAAAAAAAAGTAGGAATAGAATATACAGGTACTTCAATTATTGTATTATTTTAAAAAAGGCCAAAAAGTACAATTCATTATTATAAATAAAATCGGTAGGTTTTAAACTTATTTTTAAAATAATTACTTGAATAGGTAGACCTAATTTGAAGTTCTTTATCAATACATATTGTTAAGTTTTATGATTTACAATAAATTTATTGTTTTGAGCTAATCATTATTTTAATTTCAATGTTTATGCACATTATGTTACCAAGTTACCATAAGATTATGTTATTGACTTATTTTTTGTTATTGATTTATTCAATGCGTTTGATCCTCATATAAGAAATTATATTTTATGAATATTTAATAATACATTGATTTTGTCGTTTCAGTGGATATATTCTCAATAATTGAGATTGAATAAAGCTACATTTGTGGTGTAGACGTTATGTTATGTTGTAATCACACTTCGTGGTGGTGCCGAACATAAGTTATTCAAAATATCCATAGCTAGAAAGCTTTGGGTCCTAAATAAAGCGAGTAAATATACTTAATAATTTCTGATACCTATATATTATGACTAAATGATGAATGTTTTATACTTAATAGGTACTGATTAATTTATTATAATTGGAAAAGTAAAATAAAATCAGTTATCAAAATGAACACATGGCCAAATGATTATTTCAGATATCCATGTGCAGTAACCGAGTAAATACACTAAATTATTAGCTACTCCTATACAACACAAACGTATTTTTATATACATTTTAACTAAAATCTATGTATTTAGTATATAGTTATAGTTAAATGCAGTTATAGTATATAGTTTAATGCAGTAGTTCCCAACCTTTTTGACTCTACGGAACAATTAGAAAACTGTACATACATCACGGACCACTTCAATTTTGTAGACCATATTTTTCTTATACACGAGAATCAATGTTTTCACATATTTTAGAATTTAGATTATAAATAAGATAATATTAATGCAATTCCTTATAGTAGGCTTCTAATAATGTTTATAATTGTTGAGTTTTAAGTAAAATTTTAAAATTAATAACAATTTAACGAAAATTACAACTATAAAAAAATATATACTATATAATTATAACAATTAATAAGTAAATTACAATTATAAAAACAATTTAATATGGGCTTGCATTTTCTTAACTAAAAGAGATATTTCTGTTAGAATATTACTCAAAGCTGATTTCATTATATTAAATGTAAATAAGTCTAGAAAATTGTATATTTGCTTTGTCGTATTTTCGTTTTGGAGCCATTTCAATTAACTGTTAAATTTTAACACGAAAAATCAAAAAGAATATGATATCGATTACAAAGTATGAAGCAATTAATAATAAAAAAAAATTGATCATTAAATTTGTACAATATCAAACTTCGAACATGGCTGTTGTATTTTATCTGTTATCTTATTTTGCTGTATAAAAAATATTATATTATCGATTGAAATAATAGTTTAAGTAGCAATATGTAATTTAAATGTTTAAAATACAAATAAACATAGAAATATACACAGTTGTCAGTATTTTTATAACCCACCAAAGGAAGAATGAAATATTTTAAAATTTTGTAAGTATGACTTCCGGACCACCAGTCAATGATGACTAATAGTCCGCGGATCATACAATGGGAACTTCTTGTATAATGAATGCTAATTATTTCGAATAATTTACAGAAACGACGAGCTTTCGGTTCTTTATGCTACAAGAGATCGTCTAGTTCTAGCTTTAGAACTAGACGAATTACAGCATAAAAATGCAGTAATGAAAAAAGAATTAGAATATGCTGATTATAAAAACAAGGAAAAGATGAACGAGTTAAAAGTACCTACTCACTTTACCGAATTCCTAAATATTGATTTAAACATAATGTATTTTATATATATTATGAATGAGTAATTTTATTCTATTAATAATATACAAAAATTATTTATTTTAAAAAGAAATATAATCAGGTATTATTATGTTGAATAATAGTTTAAAATACTGGCTTGAGGTAGCTTGACTGTCATTATAATTCGTTGTAGCCCGTAAGTTTTTGCAACATTCCATTAAAGTTATCCTTAGCAATCATGGAAGCAGAAAATATTAGTTATAACCAATTGTTTACATTCTTATTTCTGTATTGTTCAATAGTTGTGAATTATTATTTTGTGGTACAAATGTTATTATTACCGAACAATATATAAAAATAAAATCACAGGGTTTTGAAAGAAACAACTAGTATTGAACCTATAGTAGGAGAACTTTGGATTCTATTTTTGGAGGTTTTTTAGTTCCATACAAACTAACAATATTTTTTAAAGCTTTTTAAACTCTAAAGTAACTGATTATGTGGAATAGAAAAACTAATCTGAAATTGGTATTCACCTGTGTATGTGTTCTAGTTATAAATTGAGTTATAAGACAAGAGTTTAACTATAGTTAAATTACTCATGACTTATTTAATTTTTGATAAGCATAACAGTAGTAAAGCTCCCAAACCAAAACTAAACTGCAATACGACTTTAATGCATTTAATCTATATATTCTTTTATTTTTATGTAACTTATCAGAAAGCATTTATAATTATCATGCGTTTATAATATTTTGAACTTTTTAGGCAAAATATAAAAAGATTTTGGACCTTCGTAAAAACGAAACTAATCTTAAACGTTCAGCCAAAGATTTGAGTTTGCTAATTAATTATTTAAAAGGAGACTTGCATTATACAAAGAAAAAGTATAATAAAGAACATAAACAATTAACTGAGTTAAAAAGTTATAATAAGAGAATAAAGGTAATAATATCCCACGAATTAAACATTAAATTAATTATAATTTAATTAACAACATTAAATATTGATCATATTTAGTAACTAATAGTGAAGTTTGATTTTTTAGGAAAAAAAAGATAAATGTAAGATAAAAGTTGACAAACTTAAAAGTAATTTAAGAATGAAAAGACTAGAATTACGCGATGAACGACAAAAATGTCGTCGTTCAATTGAACATTTCGAAACAGAAATAGAAGCATTAAAAACGGAAAAAGTATTGTATACTCATTGTATTATATTAACACACAATTATTAATTATTACAGTAAAATTATTTTATTTATTACACAATTTTCATTAAATTCAGCCGTCATAACATTTGGTTTTAGTAAGCAAACATTTAGGATTGTATTTTTAGGCGTATAGGCATATGTGGTTTATTAGAATTTCGAGGGCACATCATGTATGATATCTTAAATAATATTCTTGCTAAAATCTCGGGTGCACCATGGTCAGTGGTCACTTAGTTTGGACGCAGAGTCTATTAACCATAACGGTTAATCATCACTGTACCTCACCATGTGCTTATATTTTATTTTATTTCAGGAAAATATGGAGACATGTATAACTTATGAAAAGAATGAAAAAAAAAAAAATGCTGATGAATTATTCAAGTGTAAAGCGGAAATCGGAAATTTAAAACAAAAAATAAAACACTTTAAATACTATTTAGTACATATATTAAATTTGGTATGTTATTTAAATATTTATCAACATTAAACGGACAAGTTATTATTGCCGTTTAGATTATATATTATAAAATTAATGTAGGTTAATCTCTATGAATAACAAAATGAATTATAAAACGGCCTAGCGTGCTTTTAAAATTGAATAAAAATAATTTTGAAAGTTGAATAAAATCTTAAAGAAAATGTTGACAATTTAAAAAAGATAATCAAGGCTAATGAAATAATCAATAAGCCACCAAGAAATATAATTGTAATTTATAAAATGTCGAAGGATGTTTATCACATAAAGTTTTTGAATAAAAAGTGAGTTTTGTGTTTCTTTTCAACAAAAGTCATTGTTTTTTATATCTATATATATGTATATATATGTAACCTATATATTTATATATATATAATCATTCGTAAGACATAAAAATCAAGTTCTCTATCGATAAATATTAAAAATTTTTAAAAATATAAATGATTTTTATAAATATTTAATAGCTCTTTATAAATATGTATAGATTTACTCTCAAAATAAATTGTAAAAACAGTTAAATAAAACCAATTCTTCGTGATTTATTAATGTATTTTTAATTTTATTATAGATTCTGAACAATGACGTGTTATTTTTACAGTAATGTTTCCATGTATTGAATCCTTAAAAATTACTTCAATAATTATAAAATATGTATACAGTTACATAGATGTGTTTTGTTTACTTCATAAATTATAAATATTTACAATGTAATGTAATTTACAAATAAAACAATGTTATTCTAATTATAAAATTACATTATGTTTTATTAATATTATTAATTTTAATTAATACCTATGTTAAATATGATTTATTAAGAAAAATTATTATTGTTTAATTTTAATGTTGATTAATTATAAAATATGACATACTTATAAATTTAATGGTTTTTTTTCTATAATTTTGAAATGCCTCTAAAATGTTGGCGCCCGGGTCGATTGCCTCCTTCACCCCCTCCTAAAATGCTCATCTCTAGTATTTCTGTTCTTTTTGGACCCTAATTAGTCGTTGTTTAATTACTTTTCTACAATATTCTTAATTCAATTGCATATTATCCTTACTAGGATTTTGGTTTCGTTATAAATATTATACATTTATTACAATTATTTTATACAGCTATATAAACTACTTATTTAATATATTTATATATTAATATTTAATAAATATTAGTTATAATAAATATAGTATAATTGAATATTGAAGTATCGTCACAATTAATTGAAAAAACAGTGCTTTTTATTTGTTGGCCAATGATTATAAAACACAATGTAGCCGTTTTAAACTTGCGGGAATGGGCATATTTTAGGGGAGGGGGGTGAAGAGACGATCGCCCCTTGAATCCGTAATTAAGGAATTGATTATATGTGAGATACACATTTCAAATTTTTTTAATCTGGATCATTTCATAACGAAATCAAATTACACCTTGCTGAGAATACTGAATTGGGTTTTTTATCGAGTCCATACTTAGTGAAAAATCAAATAAAATACTAGTATAACTTTCAAAAAACAGACAGGTGTTAAATCAGAACTTCGCAAAAGTTGATTCTAAGTGGATCCGGCATTAGATTAAAAAAAAAAAAAACCCACAAATATTAATTTAAATATTAACAAACATTTTACTTGTGAATTTTGATCATTGAATTGAAGAAAAATGTCAGCCCCACCCCCCTAGAAGTAAATCTAAATACGTCTCTGAAATTTGTATAATAACATAACAATAAGTAAGCATGGAAGTCATATGAATATAATTTACATGAGTAACATGATTGGGGAAAAAAGCTCATTAGCAACAAAAATTTGGTTCTTACTTCAATAGATCATGGAACCAGTTCCTTTTTACGCTTCGTTCTGGGTTTTCGGTTTAGAAGACATATTTCTTATAAGGAGGATCATGTGGGAGTCAAATTTGAAATAGTACCATATGATAGTTCTTTAACGGTTGGGATGTTCAGGTGTTTGAAAAGGGAGGTATTGCTGATGTACCACGCTGCGTATGTAACTACCTATTCGATAAAAGCCAGGTTCTGGTGGACAGCTTGTATTGGACGGATGTTGAAAGTTGGCCGGTCCCCATATTTAGATTCTATAAAGTATCCGATATTATAAATTAATTATTAAAATGTATAGCTTTACTTTGGATTTTAGTAACGGGCGAAGTTTATGTGAGTCTTGTGTTTACTGCTTGTCTTTTTATTTATAAAAAGAGTTATCATCCAAGGAGTTCTTCTAATGTTAATCCTAAGCACCTACTTGAGAGCGATAGCCTGATTTTTGTGTTAAAAATTGGAAGTTCTAACGCGTTATTTCCTCGCACTACACGCACATGTCCAACAACTAAAAATGATTGTTACGTGAGATCAAGATGAAAAATTGTTGGAGACCTTGAAGAAAAATTATACCTTTGGCCTACCCGACCTCAGTCTCTAGAGGAAACACGTGAAATTAATATCATATTTACAAATTTAGCTCGTTATATTGATCGTTTCTTAAACATTCAATTAACAGACCAGCCACGTGACAACGCACGTTTATATTTCATATGCCTCATCGTGTGACGTTATTGATTAATAATTACACTCTACAACAGCGGTCTTCAACCTTTTCGACTTGCGACCAACCCACTTTCCCTGCCATACATTTTTGCGATCCATGTCAGCTTCGTTAACCATGAAATCCATAAAAACAAAGTGAAATTTGCTTAATGTATGCCATTGTAGAAGAGCTTTTATAACTCAATAAATTAAAATTTATATTTTTCTAGGTAATATTTAATTTTTATAATAAGTGATGATATAAAAAAAAAAAAAAAAAATGAATGCAATATTTGTCCCTGACTGTTTTCGTACAAAATACCCCACCTACCACGGATCAATTTCACGTAATGCAGTTTATAGGTATGCTATTACTAGGTACATTTGATTGTTCATTTTTTTTTTTTTTATTTAAAAATTAAGGCTTCAACAGTAAATTTTATTAACCATTGATTGTTACATATTATATACGTTAAATGTGAGGTTAAATATGTCAATATTACATATTATAATAGTAAAGTTAGACTTAAAGTTACAATTTACTAATAATATTTGTGATGCTTGAAAACGGGATCGTTTTCATATTTTGGCTCTTGTCCTTCTATGTGTCTATGTTGGATGGCATGTTCAGGTAATTGTGTTCACTCCTCGTCTGTGTTCAATAGTTAATGTTTTGTGAAATGTGTCGCCTATTGGTTGAGGCTCTTTTCTAATTAAGTATGAGTATAACTGTACGACAAAGAAGTATTCAATCTTATCTTCTACAAATGTAGTATGGTTTCGGGTTTATTCGAAAATGATTTTACCCGATATGACATGACATATATAATATAATATGTATGAATATGCATTTTTTAAATTTTAATCAGGTAGATTTATCGCTATCCAATCTTAAAGCTTACGCGATTCACTGGTTGTAGACCACTGTTCTACAACATAATTATTATAACACGAGCACTAGTTAAAATAGATAGAATAAACATCATCATAATGTTCAGTAGATATATACATATTATATATTTCGAATAACATAACAGAGTAATACAACTCATAATTATTTTAAATAAAATAGAATAAAATAAAATTAAGAAAATATTACAAAAAATCGTTTAAGATAGTTTGTGATTAATATCCAATCACCAGAAGTTGTAGTGTTTCCATTCATGCATCAGGTATGATAATTGCATCTTTCGTGGCAGGTCCATAGACGATTCAGTCACTAAAATTTTACTTGTCGTGTCGAAGCTGGGTTATTTGATGGTTTACAATGCTTTGTCTGTCAGGATTCTTTGATGTCCAATCTTAATGTCATTTAGTATTTCCCGTAACATTTTCCAGTAATAAATTATTTGAAGTTATCTGCGGACGTCTACGGGTCTTAAGTCGCAGTCCTCCTCCTCAGTTGCCATTGAGTCCATATGTATCAGTAGGTTCGGATTATTAGCAATCTTGGTCCAATTTCGGATTTGCCTGTTCTCTTTGGATGTTTGTGGAGGGACTGATAACCATTTTAATGTTCTCTCTATAATTCCCATTACCGAGTTGCGCTGGATATCCAGTTTCTTAGTATGTATACTATTTGACTAGATAGGTGCGTAGAATTCTGTTGTTGAATATATCAATGTCAATGTACTTATGCGTAATTTATTTGCGTCAGCTACTCATGATGTACCACTCAACATACCTATTATACTGTCACGAGTCTTAACTTTCGTTGAAAGCTAAAGTAGCTAAGTGTTCTGTCTATAACTATAGGTATTACACGTTTACTAGGTATTTGGTGTAAGGAGTAGTTTTTTTACTACCCGAACTCCGAACTGTACACTTATTTTCTGATTAGCTTATATTATTACCAATCGAAGAGAGTAACTTTCGTTTTTGATGGATTGGATTCAAGCCTCCATTGTTTATAGTATTTATGTAGTATATCAGGGTCAGTGGGTTTTCCAAGTGTTCTAAATCATTAGTCAGCTAGACTACTTATCAGCGCAGATAAATGTTTGTAGAGGTGCCAGCACGGATCCTTGTGAGAGGACATTATTGAGGAACTTTGTAATTCTCTTTTCCTCTAAAATTTCACAGTGGAAAATCTGTTACTAAGAATGTTGTTAAGAAGTTTTAGTAACGTTTTACATAGGATCACATCCAGGAATTTCGATAAGTCTTTTTTTCCAACAGTGTCGTAGGCAGATCTTAAGTCAATTTCACTGCAGTCTCAACGTTCATGTCAAAGCCATTTTCTATGTGAGTAGTTAACTACCAGTAAATAGCACATTTATGGTAATAATTAGTGCCATAAATGTGCTTTTAATTTAATTGTTTGAAAGCGATCTCCTTAAATCTCTCTTTCACTAACAGAACTAAAAGAACGGTCCTGAATATGTTGAGAATTATTCAAGTAAAAAATAAATAAATAAACACAAAGAGACTAAACAATTTATATTAATAGTAGTATCGTTTAATTTATAAAGAAAACAATGCTAATCAATAACAATTTAAGTAACAGGTATTTGTATAGTAACCACTATAAAGATGATATATATAATATTTTAATGACATAACGTGTTATAATATTATACACTATCTAATACCGATCGGTACACACCTGCGTTTTAAACGTAGGCAGTACAAGTCATAAACGTGTTTAATGCAAACACGAGTACCGATATGAAACGAGATTTTATATAAAAGGAAGTTCAAATTCCTATCATCTAGGTTTACTATTTTTTTTCGGACGTGTCTTGTTGTATGTTCCATAACTCTGAGTACTCGGACGCGTTGTCCATCAGCATTTGATGATTGCCACGTTCTACAATTTGGCCGTTGCGTAAGATTAAAATCTCGTCAGCATCTTTGATAGTCGACAGCCGATGAGCGATGCACACGCTCGTCTTGTCCTTGGTGGCTCGTCGCAAGGCCTTTAAAATATTCTGTATCGAGAAAAAAAAAACGAATCAATATATTAATTAGTTCTAGCAAAGGGGCCTTTAGAACTTCATAGCAGACTCAAGCGATTTATTAAAAATTATTAAGAAGTTATTGTGTAGGTCATCAAAACAAAAATACTAATGTAAGGCTCGTTTTCATTCGGTTTTGAAATACATATAATTATATAATTATCTAAATACGGAAAACCATGACGTTTTTTTTTACAAAGGAAATGTATGTACACCCAAACCAATATTTATAGCTATTTCTGGGTGTGAAATTACTTGATGACGTTCGGAAAACGCTATAATTATACCACTAATGATTTTTATCCGAACCTGTTCAGTAATAGAGTCTAATGACGACGTGGCTTCGTCGAATATTAGAATAGGACTGTCCTTAAGTATGGCCCGAGCAATGGATACCCGTTGCTTTTCACCACCCGAAATCATCAGTCCCCGTTCACCCACTTGTGTGAAATATCCGTTGGGCAACTTCGTTACAGAGTTATGGAGTTCCGCGAGTTTAGCTGCCTCGATGACTTCAGACTCGGACTTGCTCATGTCTCCGTAATGAAGATTGTACATAATGGTATCGTGGAATAAAACTGAATCCTTAAAAAAAACACATTATACATAGTACAGTCTTAATTAAGTCGCGTGGCGCGCTCGATCGGCGATCGGGTATACCTGAGGAACTACAGCCATGCTTTTCCGAAGACTGTCGATATCAACGTCTTTGATGTTCTTACCTCCAATAAGTATCTCGCCCGATGTAGGTTCAAAAAACCTGAATAACAGCCGGATTATCGTCGACTTTCTGAAATAATCGTAATATAAATTATGTAGGTAGCAAAACTCGACAGCCAATCGTATACATCTATATGTTATATGGGGCTCAGATATCGTCAGAGTCCTGTCTTAGTACAGAACAAGACAATACTCCTTACAGAAGTAGCAGTGTTTACCCGCTTCCAGATCCTCCAACAATGGCCATTTTTTGACCGGGTGATACAACAAATGACAAATTGTTCAGAATAGGTTTACCATTCTGGTAGCCAAAGCAGACATTTCGGAATTCGATTGAAGCATTTTCTTTAGTGACAGCTAATTGGGCAGCATTTTCTAGGTTCTATAATAAGGGGGAAAATATATTGTACAATTATCAAGGCGGTAAGTATAAAACTGAACAATTTGAAAGTACCTACCTTGACGGACGGGTCGCAAGCCATAATAGAAAACATGGACTGCATGTCGATTAACGCCTGTCGCACTTCGCGGTAAACGGATCCGAGAAATCCGAGTGGCATAGACAATTGAAAAAGAAGACCGTTTACCATTGCCAGATCGCCGATTGTCATATTACCTAAAGTAAAGAACAGTAATTTTTAATATTGTTATATTTTTTAAACATAGCATGCAATCGTATCAGTTATCATAAGCAGAAATGCTAAACGTTTTAACTAAATATTAAAACCCAAATTACATTACCTTCGACTATTTGTTTAGCGGCCAATATCATAGCCGCGCTTATTGTCACGCTGAAAATGATATTCTGACCAAAGTTCAAAACAGCCAAACTCGAGCTGGTCTTCAACGAAGCTGTTTCGAATTTTTGTAAGACCTTGTCGTATCGGTTGGCTTCGTATAATTCGTTATTGAAATACTGAATTACAAATCAAAAAATCAATCTGATCAATTTTATTATTAATATTATAAATTTAAATATAACTTTCAATTCCTAGTTTAAAAATAAATTATTTATTCATAATTGTCATTTTATATTTAGTAGTAAACATTTATAATAAATTATTATGCTGCTATATGCTGCTGTTTGCATGAGTTTTTTGTTTTATTCATTGGCCCCATAGTAGCTCAAAGTTGTCAATCACTGTTTACAGTATAGAACAGTTATTACATGTCAATCTTCAATTACCAAAGTATTAATTGTATTTCAAATTTTTTAAAGAAAATATCTTATTTATCTAAAAAATAGATAGACCATCTCTTCAATTGATGTTACTTATAATTCGTTATTTGTTTGCATGATTTTCATAGAAATACATAATAAGATTAATCGTTAATTTAATATGTTAACATTTTTAGGAATAAGTAAATTTAACAGTATAAGTTGGTAATCAGATTCATAAAAATTTTAAATCAACAAATGCAATATAAATATACTTTTAAGCCTATAGAAAAGCTATTTTCTCTCTTGAGGCTGATGTTTTTCAGTAAAAACAATTAGTACTTGTTTAAAGTTAATTTTTTTAATAGCCAAACAAAACCATTAGGTTATATTAATTATTTGACATAAATAAAATACCTTTACTGTTTCATAATTTATTAATGAGTCCATAGCTTTATTTCCAGCTTCATTTTCTGCTTGATTCATATATAATCGGAATTTTGTCCGCCACTGGGTTACTAATAATGTATAAGCTGTATAAATTGATACACACCCAAAGGATAATGCAGCAAACTCATAACCACATTTTAATCCCTAAAAAAAAGCTGATATATTATAAAAATTAAATTAGATTTATAGTTAAGAAATTTACCAGAATAGTGCTGACTAGAGTTAATTCAAATAATGTAGGTACAATATTAAATACCATGGCAGTAAGTACAAAATTTATTCCACGACTTCCACGATCAATTACCTAGAAAAAAAACTTCTTAATTAATAACAATTATTAAATAATAAATTTAAAAAATTGAACAATAATTAATTTAACTAGACTTTGATAATTAACTTAAAATATTTAATGTATTAAATATTAATAGAATCCCACCTTAGATAATGCACCAGTTTGTCTGGATAGATGAAAACTAAGATCTAAGTTATGTAAATGTAAAAAAACATTTCTAGAAATTTTTCTAATAGACTGTTGAGCTACACTAGCAAACACAGCATTACGTAGTTCATTCATACCAGCAGCAGCAGCTCTACATACACCATCTAAAAATATTATTTATAAGATAATAATTATTTTTCTTTTTTATATTTAACAAAGGTAAAAATACACTAATTTATGTACTAGAATATAACCATACATTTAATGTACTACAATATGTAGTAGAAATTCAAATGAATATAATATATAAAAAAGTCATAGAAATGATTTGAATTGTAATATTATTAACTTGAAACTTACTCATACTCACATGATATTAGCAGTGTTGAAACAACAGTCAATACAGTTTCAGGTGCTGAACCCATTGTTAATAATGCATCTCCACTAGAACCAAGATTTTCATTCAGTTCATCTATAGCATATTTAAGCAAGAATGGAACAGACACATTTAACACTTTGGCAGCAGCTAATAAGCCAAGTGCCAGTGTAACTCGTTTTCGAATAACCATATCATTCTATGAATTTTTTTAATGTTTCAAACAGTTAAAAAATAAGCTTGGTACATTATAACTTATAATGAAAACCAACCTTTGGCCAAATGTACTGCAACATACCAAAGATCATTTCTTTGCCTGTAACATTTTTGCCCTCTACTGTGGTCAAATCTTCTTGAATATGAGCCCCCCCAATATGGTAACATGTTGGAAGTATTGTAGATCTGTTTAAAGGTTTTAGTTTTTTCTGATGATTATTGAGTACATTATTATGATGTACAGAATAGGTAGAAATAGCCTGGAAATTAAAAAAATAATATTTTTGAAAATAATATAATTCATTAACAAAGAAATAATAATATAAAAAAAATCAATATACAAAATAGTGTAGTCTTATAAAATGAATACAGCTTAAATTAAAAAAAAATATTCATCAAATAAAATAAAATATCTTGTTGATATTAATTTTATTTACATTCACCAATTTGAATTTGAATATAAATGCTTCTAATTAACCATCACCCTAAAGGAATTACATTAACTGTAATTATACAGTTAATAAATAAGACAAAAAAATGAAAAGTATATTAACAATATTAGTTAATCATTAAGTATTAATTTATTATGAATGTAATAGTTTTTAATTTTTAAATCTTAAACAATAAAACTATTCAAATTAAGTTTGTGATATTTAGAAATTTATGAAAATGTTATTTATCCTTAGTTTTATATCAAATTTAATAATTAGATTAATATCTAAATATATTATATGTTTATTTGATATTTTGTATTAGTAATTTTACATTTATTACCATAAAACATAAAAAATATATACATAAATATATATATATATATAAACCTCTCTTAAAATTTTAAAAAGTGTAATATATGAAGTTGAAATAAATTAATATTTATATATAAATAATATCAATTATTTAAAATATAATAAACAATTAGACTTAACTTTAGAATTTATAAAATACCAAATGATATATTTATTTTAAATACTGATTACTAATTAGTATGAAATTCAAGCAACAGCATTGTTTTATTTACATTTTTTTCATCTATTTTTAAATGGAAATAATATTCTCATTTCACTTTATCATAATGAATATTCAGGAAGAAAATTATGAATATAAAATATAATAAATTATAAATAATTCAAAATTCATTTTTTTTTTTTTTTTTGAACAATTTTATTTATATCAATAATACAAACAATATGTGATATATTTTTATATATGTATTTATTACCAAGAATTAACACTTAAATTATTTTGGGCTTTATATAAGCAAGTATTGATAACAAATTGGCATACTATTATTTTATGATTATTTATTTTTGAAATGGTCTTAATTTAAGGATGAAAAACTTTGAATATTGATTGCAACGAATAAATTAATGTAGGCATAACATAGCATTTATCCAGCATACTTACTATGTAAATGGATATTATGCAAAACAATCAATATAAAAAAAATCAACAAATTTACCTTAAAATGTATTTATTTTCAAAATATTTTTTTTTTTAATTATTATTTCACATTTAATGATTGTAAACATTTTTCAAGTAATCTCCGATTCTCCTTAACTAGCTCTACAGCAACCGTAAAACCACTTGACTTTTCAACCTGATTCTTTTCTAATACAGTCAACATATTTGATTCCCAATGTTTAGTCTCTTCTAATTTTGTTTCAACAACAATAGCTCCAATTTTAGAAACAGCTTCAATCTCACATTGATCAAATAAATTTGCAAACACACGGTTTTTTAATTCTTCATCATTCAATCTATCTGAATAAATTAACAGATATATCAAAATTCTTGTTGACCACGACAAGCCTTCCGATGTACAATAATGTCCTTCCAATAAATCATATGATCTAAGTTTCTCCATTCGATTTTTATTTAAGTTTTTGTCTGTTTTGGAAATTATTTCATTGGCTGATAAATGAATAGAGTCTTGCGGATTGGATGGCACAACAAAACCATATTCAAGAAACAGCTTAATGTTGGAATGTGGACCATAATTAATAAATACTTCAGAATTTTTTTTGAACAACTTTTCAGTAACAATAGTATATGTGCCATTCAAATGATTGACAGTAGCTCGAACACATGCCATAGGAGAGTGATTGAACATATCAATATATGGTGCAAGCGCCAAATTATTGATGTCTGATAATTTTATTTTGTTTTTCAAACTACACACAGGACTCATGTAAACTGCTCTAGTATTTACAATGGACCATGACCATTTATATACTTCAAATGTAAAAATATTACTGAAAGTCTTAGAACAGTGTGAACAAATATTGGAAGACATACCGGACATAACTTCATTGTACGTAGTCATTATTGTGCTTTGATGGTCTATAACTTTTGCAGATAAATCATCTGGTAAATTTTCAGTGGTACAATATGCTGCATTTGACATTGTTGTGGGCAACGAGACAATATAATTGTACCAAAAAGATTCAGATCCCTTGTGCCGTTCAAACATCAAGTATGTTGCTAACACTTGTTGTGTTTTGTAAACAGCGGTCATGTATTTTCCTAATGGCGACACAGAAACCGAATCGACCGTAATGACTAAGCAACCTGGAACAATGGCCAAGGGTTGTCCGACATCGATATTTTGGGCTGCCATCAATCCACGTCCTGTGTCTGAAAAACATGCAGGCGCCAAACGGCAGGTGGGCTTCCATCCGTGAGATTTCATCCAAGTAGTTAAAGAGACGATTTCGACCTGATAACCGGTGTAAGGTCGATCAGGTTTAGTTTTGCGGCGACGGCGAGCCGTTCGACCCATCGCCCAGTTCGGAGAATCGAAAGACTTTATTCGGGACTCACCTTGTAATGATTTCTCAGCAAATAGAACGCACAATGCCGGTTACATAGTATCGGTCGACTGAAGACAATTGCCATGTCTTCGACGAACGGTTTAGAGTACCACCTCAGAAACAAAAAATAAGAAGACTTTTATTAAAATTACATTCGAGAGGCACTATGCCGCTCACATTGACTCGATATGTTTAACGAAAATCACACCAGTCATAGAGATGGTATATCAAACGTCTTGTGATCCATTTTATCAACATTTAATCAAGTGGTCTCGATCTCGCGGTTCAACTGATAATATCGCGACACGGTTATCAAATCATTAAAACAAGTGAATCACTTGAAATTATTGTTGACTAATGACAAATTGACATTAATGAATCATCTCGAATTCCAAACTATCGGTTATTAAATATTATAACTTGGAGTTGTTTAATTAAATATTTTATTTAATATTTTAAGTATCCTAAATTTCGACAATTTTACAAAACGCGCTTTATAATCATATTTTATTTATTTTTTATATTTTTTTTAATTATAAAGTTTTCCTGACAAAATCATCTAAACTTAGGTATAATGTACAACATTTTTAGCTATTTATAAAAACGATATAATGCATAGAAGATAACTAGGTTAACAAATTAGCGATACACATTTATAGATTTAAGATAGTGTTACAAGCTAGTGAACGATCTACAAATAGTGTTATCATTGAAGATAATCTAATTTAGGACGTCATGAGGACGACCACGTTTAAGTCTTTGATTGATGGGGTCGACATTTAACCCGAAATATTCTGGACCGCTTGCTTTACGTAGATGACAGAAGAAGCTTGCCGATAGATTCTTTATGTAGTTCTTAATTGTTGGTAAATTGAAGTCGGTGTGCAATGCATCGTTTTGAATAAACCAAGGGACATTTGAAATCACTCGGAGGACTTTTGATTGTAGAACTTGGATTTTATTTATGTGGGTTGACGCACATTGACCCCAGACAGGGACCGCGTTTAGTAATAGAGGACGAATGATTTGTTTGTATAGTAGTAATGAACACATCCAGCTCAGTGATGTTTGCCGATTTATTAATGGGTATAAAATTTTTAGTCGTTGGTAACCTTGTACTCTGGAGAATATATGTGGGTTCCAGGTAAGTTTTTTGTCCAAAGTAACTCCTAGATATTGTATGTTATGAGACCATGGCTTATTTTGTCCGTTGATTTTTAAGGAATTATAATTAGTGGGTCTACGAAGTGTGAAAATAACTGCTGTGTTTTTAGTCGGATTAAAAATGATTTTCCATTTTTGCGCCTATTTTTGTATTTCGTCAAGATGAGTTTGGATGTTTACTGTTAAATTTTCGATTTTATCGAAACTAGAATAAATGACACTATCGTCCTTATATAGGGCTATTTCCGTGTTCATCGATGTAGGGAAATCTGATATGTAAAGGTTAAAAAGTATTGGAGATATTTTTGAGCCTTGTGGTACTCCTGCATTAATTTGTTTGACGTGCGAGTTCGTGCCATCTATTTGAACGGTGAAACTACAAGAGTAGAGAAAAGATTTGATGATGTTGAAGATAACAGTGTGTTAAGGCATTTGAATTTATAAAGCAGTCCGTCAAGCCAGATCTTATCGAAAGTTTTAGCTATGTCAAGGAAGGCCGCTCCAGTGTGTTCTTTTTTTTCGAACCCGTTGCTTATGTGCTCTGTAATACGTAGAAGTTGTTGAGTTGTGGAGTGGTTTGGCTGAAAACCAAATTGGCAATGAGGAATTGCATCAGTTGCATTTAAATGACTAATAAGCCTGGTGTAGATAATTTTTTCGAAAATTTTTGAAACAGATGATAATAAGCTAATGGGCCTGTTATTATTTGGGTCAGTATTATCTTTGCCAGGTTTTTTTTATCATAATTATAATGGCCAGTTTTCAATTTGTGGGAAAGTAGTTCAATTTTAACAGGGCATTGAATAGCACTGTCATAAATAGAACTGCTTTATTAGGTAGTTTTTTTAATATAGATTTAATAATTTGGTTATGACCGGGTGATTTACGGTTTGGTAATTTTTTTATTATTTCTGAAATTCCTGTTGGGTTAATGTATGGAAAAATATTTTGCGGTGGCATTTGATGCTCACTCAGTTTTTGAGACACCAAATTATTAGTTGCATTATCATTTAGAGCGTTAAGTGCGAATGTATTTACTAAAGTGGAAGCAAACAAATTTTTCATTTTTCATTCACTGTATTTATAAATTTGTTTCCGGATTTTAGAGACTGAATTTTGTTGTCATTGGGCTTAATTAATAATGTAATCGCTAACCAAAGATTAAAATCAGCGGGATGTATTGAAGATAAATATTTTTAATATGAGTTTATTCTCTGTTCTTCGAGTAGTGATTTTACATTTTTGGTAAGGAAATTTAGCTTTTTACGATCTTCTGGTTTTCTATGAAGTTGCCATTGTTTCCTTATATGGTGTTTATTCTTTATAACTTTTTGTATTAATGGGGTAGTTAACGATTTGTAGTTTTGATCCAAAGTGGGTTTTGAGGATATTGTACACTGTTCTGCATCATTGAAGATTGTTTCACGAAGGTGAGATATTGCTACATCAACCAATAATGTATTAGAAATATTTTAGGAATTGTTATATTATTTGAAATGTATCTCTTGAATTTATCCCAGTCAGGATTCCCGTTCATAAATTTGCGAGTTTGTTCAGATTGTATTAGAGATGAATCAATTGATATTTTTACTGGTAAATGATCCGAATCTAATTCGAATAGGGGTTCTTGATTAATTATTAAAGAAGTTAATTTAAGTAAAACAACGTCTAAAATATTTGGGCTTTTGTTAGAATCATGAGGGTAGTGAGTGGAATTATGAGATGCAGAGATGATCGCGGAGGAGTTAGAGTTAGGTACTTTATAATTCCTTCCATTCGCGTTTGTTATGTTGCATTTCTAGTTTACGTGTTTTGAATTTAGATCACCAATGATAATAATTTTATTATAGTTGATTAAGATTACGTCGAGGTCGTTTGTGTACATATTATAACTTGGAGATTGGTATGCACTAACTATAGTAGTATTTATATTATTAACTAATAGTGTTATTGCTACGACTTCCAAAGATCGCAGTCGTGGTATATATGCCTGTTGATGTTTTATTTTGGTGCGAATTAATAACGCGACATCACCTGAAGGCCAAACAGCTGTCCTATCGATGCGATAAATTGAATAGCCATTAAATTGAATCGAGTCGGTTATACATAAGTGAGTCTCACTTATATAGGCTATATTAATATTGTGATGAGATAAGAATGCAGCGAAAGTGTTACGATTTCGTTTAATGCCGTTTGCGTTCCACTTTATGATGACGATGTTATTAATATTATTTAAATTAGTTGACATTGAGATTATTTAAGATATATATATATATATATTTATTATTTAGATTAGTGATTACTTTTTTAATAACTTCTGAGATAAGAGATGTGAATAACGAACGGCATTAGCGATTTAATGAGTTTATTGGTATTAAATGTGCTGTTCGTTTGATTATCTGCTGTTGTTTCTTTTTTGCTTAAGTTTTTTTTAGCTTTATCGGCGTAAGATTTATATAGGATTGAAATACATTTTGTTCTTTAGGTTCAGGAATAATTTGTAAATGTTTTGGTGGACTTATATGAGACTTAACTTTACTGTGGTTTTTCATTTGTTTATAGATTTTACAGCCTTTATAATTTGCTGGGTGATTTTCATTGCAGTTTACGCATATTGGTGGGTTATTTTTATCTTTAGTACAGTCCGAGTAGTGGTATTGTTCTGGGCATTTAACGCATCTAGGAGATAGTTTATAGACATTTTTTGTATGATTAAAACGTTGGCAATTTTGACATTGTGGAATGGAGTTATCGTTTTATCGATTTTCTACCGATATTATGCACTGAAGAAAACGATTTAGTGAAAAAATATATTTTGCTGATTTATCAAGTATAACAGCAACGATTGGAATTGTTGATTTATGACGATTTTGTAGACGGGTTACAGAAGTGACGTTAAATTTTAGAACAGATGGTTCATCATAGATTTCTGCTTCAGATATAGAGGTTGGTAGATTTCTTATTATTATGGAGAGGTTTCTATCTTCCGGGAATTGTTACGTATGATATTTAATATTCGGAAAAATGTTTTGTAATAGAACGATAGTCATCGACGGTAGATAGATTCAGTTTTAAACATATATTTTTACTATGGAAGTTGAAATCTGAAGTTATAATTGGCGAGATTTTATTTAGTAAAACAATATAATCGTAAATTTCATAAATATATAATGGAGGAATTTTTTGCTTTACCTCTTCGATGACCCTATCAGTAACTTCTGTGTTAACGTCATCTGTATCATTATGATTTGAGATTGGAGCACATCTATTTTTGTTGACCTGCTGTGGAAAGAGAACGACACTGCTAGGACGTTGGTATTGTCCTTTGTTGGAGGACCCAGTATTTGACATACTTGCGTTGCACCATACAGTGAACTTTGTATTTACGCACGACAAATTAGATAAGCGAGCGATTTACATAAACACGACTGGTTACGATAAATGCCGCACGAAGAATGATAATCATATTCAAAATAGATCTTAAACAGTGGCGGATTATTATTTTAATATATTTTTTTATATTTGTCATATAAACACGAATAAAAATAATTTGAAAAAGTTATAATAATATGTACATTATATGATGCGTACCTATAGGTTATAGTGATAATATTACAATTATTGTTATAATTTGAAAATATTTCATCTGTAATAAAATAATTACAGTTAGTTACTAGTTATTATTAATAACTTAGTACCTATGTACTTATTGGGAACATCCGATTATCCAAGTGTAGGTATTTTCATATCTGATTTTTATATTTCCGTTATTTGACTATATAAGCATTGTTTATTTGTACTGATAATAATAGTATGTGAAGTAAAATAATAGACATGAAATATTTTATTTTTAGAAGTTTTCTATTTTAAAGATTTTATATTTTGTTTTTTTTTTTTTTAATAAAAAAACAGAATAAAATTTGAAGAGAAGGGTTTAGACCAAATATTGTTGGTTCTTTAGTAGAGTTATAGGGGAGGGGGAGCAGAGTGATTAAGCCTAGGGGCGCCAAAACGCTAAATCCACCACTGATCTTATGATTTAAAAATTTGTTATGCGGCCCTTTGGTTAACAAAGTCTGAATACGCTTAAGATTCTAGATTCTGATGTAAACAATTATTTTGATTCAATGTCTATGCTAGATCTAAACGAAAAATGATTGTGTTATATGATCTAAGATATTATACGTAAAAGGTTATACCAATTTTAGAATAGCTAAATGTATAATATGGGCATGGCCGTAGCAAGGGGGTGGCGAGAGGTGCCCACGCTTCGAGCGCAATTCCTGGGAGAGCGCAAAAATGAAAATCTTGCATTTAATGTTAAAAATTACAACGGTCAAGTCGTGTATTTTGTTTACAAAATCTTTAACAACCTTCATACCATTTAAAGCAATCATTGAAAACAATATCTAATAAGCGTAATATTTTTAAATTAAAAATACATAAGGACGCCTTTTGAAGTTTCGCCCAGGACGCAATGTTTGGTTGCTATGGCACTGAATATAGGCCTGTAGAGTTAGAACATTGGCACCATATCAAAGTTAACGGCTATATCTGCAAATCATCTTTCATAATAACATATACAGAATAACAATTTTCAGTACCGAATTATAAAACCAATGAAAGTTTATTAAAGGAAGTTTAATTCAACAATAAATTAGACAAGTAATAGTCGTAGAACTACAAGCACTTTTATCAAGCCCGTGGCCGAATCATCAGCGTTACGAAGCTGTTATACGTAGTGAACTGTATTACCACACTATTTTCGTAACGCCATGCTATAGTTCTTTTTTGAATAATAAGGTTTTTTTTTAAATAATAATCTGTACACAAGGCGGTAATCATTGACTTTGATAAACGAAATTGATAATAGAAAGTCTTGATATTGACGGGTGCCCGACCGATATCGGTTTCTCAGTAGACATTCGCGAGTTTGGGCACTCTTAATCTGAACAGACTAGTTCACTAAGGAAAAAATCAATTTACCAGAAACAATAAAAGAGGTAGATAATACTTGAGGTCTTTAAAAATATTTTTCTAAACCAAAAGTAGTAAATATAAATAGAATACAAAATTTTTCATAAATTTGAAGTCTTTAAATTTATGTAATTTAATAATATTTTTTTTTTTTATGAAATCCGTTCAAATTTTATACTAAAATACTTAATACATGACAAAATAGGTTTTTTCATGATAAATATGAAAGTCAAATATTTTTTGAATTTCTTATTTGCATCTGGCACAGAATGAATGAATATTTTAAATTATAATTTAAACATAACATATTTGTTTTCCTTAAGTTAACATATTTTTTAGGTCATATAACATAGAACATCAACATTAATATCCATTAAACAACTTCATTTTTTATTCATAGCATATCATATAATAGCTATATCACACAAATTATTTTTAAACTATAATCAGTTTTAACATTATACATTATTTTAAGATCAGCTATAAATTAAATTGATTTTATAGGTATATCTGAAATGTCTAAGATAAAAAATATTTATTGTGACTAATGATGTTTCACTAATTGAAAGTATATTGAATACATAAAATTAAAAACAATTTATTAGTAGTTAATAATATTGACATTAATATTAAGATTGGGGTGAATATTATGATGTATTTATGATACAATGAAACTAAACAACACATCTTTTAATTGTAATGTATATTGAATACCTTACGTTAATCAAAAATAAACATTATAGAATAATATATGTAATTACTAAGATAATATATTTATTTATTTTCAATCTCTACATACTTCTACAACAAGCCATAATAACATTTTGTAAAATTACATTTACAAACGAATACTTTTCACTTAATAAATCACAAGAATTAGAACCATACATAAATTATTCAATAATTAAACTAAAAATAATATTATTTGACAATATAAATTTAAGAGAATTAAAAATTACTTGAAAGAGATTGAATTTCAATATTTAACACCAATGGGTGACGTTTATACATATATTATATGTTTGTATATGTGTGTGAGTGTGTATATATATAATATATAATGAGTTAGTTCAAAAATGAAATACCTAAAAAAAATGGTTTCATATTTATCAACATCACATATTTGTAACTCAGTCTTTGCTGGGTCAAAGTTTACACCTTCATCATCATCAAGTATCTATTAATAATGTGAATTAAAATCAATAATAAACATAATTATTAAATATTGAGCTTCTAAACATAAATTGTAATCCAAAATAAGTTTATAAAAATAAAATAAAATAAATATTTTGTCAGTATTCAAATAACTACTAATAATTATTTGAAATAAATGCTCAAAAAAAAAAAAAAAAAAAAAATAATTACTACTAAAAGGGAAGAAAATGAATTATATTGATTATTTTCTGTTAAATCACAGATCAGCTTATAGTATGTGTATAAAATAATTATTTATCATCTCTGTAATTAGAGAGTCGTCTAGAAGACAATAATGGAGATTGAGAAGGAGATCCATGGCCTTCTTCTATATCTTCATAGTTCTTGTCTCTTCCAAAATCCAATCGTATTTGAACTGGATTTGTAATATCAGGCACATCGGTTTTAGATTTTGATTCTTCAATTTGAATGTTTACATTTTTGTTGTCTAATTCGTTTTCAGTAGATACAGATTCATTTTGCCCAAATTTTATAACTATTTCAGCAGTTTTAATTTGTAGTTTCAAAAATGATGGATCTGACTGATTGCTTTGGCACACAGCTGCTTGGCTGCACTCACCTTCAGTATTTTCTCCTTGTTTTTTACCAATTTGTATGTGCCATGATGTACCTGTATCACTTGAAATTGGTTTTTCAATATCTTCTTGTTCACGATTGTCAATCTCTTGAAATCTTATAGGATTGTCTTCATTATTGAAAAATATATGAACATTACGTACACCTTTGAGATCAATACTGGTTTCATCATTTTGTTCAATTGGCGGTTTTACAATTGACGTAGCTGCATTAGTTTCAACTGAATTACTCTCTGCTACATCTATGAGTACATTTTGATTTTTACGTGGTTTTTCTGGAGCATTTTGTACATATATTACCCTAAAATATAATTGTATAACTAACAAATTTTCTTGGGTTTTATAATAATAAAATTAATTATTAACTCACCTATTATATGCTTTCCATCTTTGGCAAAGCATAAAATATGATTTGCACTGTATATACATGAAAACCACACCACCAGTGAAGCCAATACCTACAACAATCAGCTTAGTCCAAAATGGCCATTGTAACATTCCATGTTCAACTTCTTCTAACGTACGATCCATAAGCACATACAATGACCAACAAACACATGTCATGGCTATTATATGAAACAGCATTGCACACACCAATTTTTTACGCTCCATTCCAGACATTTCCAATTGTTCCCACTAAAAAAGTAATAATTAAATATTCAGTATACTCAAAATCTTAAAGGATCACGAAATAATAAAAAAAAAAAAAATGACTTTGGTTCAATTAATAAATAATTCATTAATATAACTAACAGTGGTACTAACATTTATAAACGTCAATTCATTGAAGCGTCCAAGCAGGGAAAGCGCGAGGGGGTGGACAATAGGGGCAGTTGCCCAGGGCCCCGCACCTTAAATTATTATTAAGGCTCCGCGGTTCTGATTTAACTGAACTTAAAATATTTTCACAAGATCACAGGGAATGACGGAGGCATATACATTTATATAGGAATTACCGACGCTGTCAAGGTTAACTATTTATATTTTCAATAAAAATGAAAAATTAAAACAATTATCATTAATAATTAAAATTATCTAAGAAAAATATACTAGATTCAAGGAAAACATATTAATTGGGACTAAAATGTCACAATATTGAATAAAATTAGTTTTATTTTTTAATTATTTAAACATTATAATTTATTAAATATACCTACACGTTTTGTAAAGATAAGGTCCAAAAGTATAGCAGGCACCCCCTAAAATACAGGACTGCACACACCTATGATTATATTATCAATAGACTTCCTACATTTTCTTACAGATTCCACGAGTACGGTTAGGTTACAAGTTTGTTACAGTTTAAGTATACAATTTATAAATTGTTTATAAGAATATACCTCTACATTATTTAGTATCTGTGATGAACATAACGATTGTTTTTTGCATAATAATAAATGTAATAAAATAATCGAAGACTAAATTATGTAGGTTAGTATAAGTCCAGTAATCGAAAACGGAATAATCATTAATATAATAAATATTTGCGAGCAACCTTTTTTGATTGACACTTTAACTACATGTCATTTTTAGTGAGAACCATATACCGATAACGTACGAGTAACCACCACTAGTTTGAGCGATAGTAAAATAACACATTTAAAACAAATAAAACCGATCATATGAATTTTGAAGAGAAAGAGAGCATTATTGCGCTGGTCAGTATGCTGATTTGTTTTATATGAAGGGGAATACTTAACCTCAACCGATATTGTAATGCATAGTATTAAAACACCATAGTATACCAAACTGACAAATTAAAAACAAAAACAAAAATACGTGGAAAAATTTAAGATCACAGTAGATACTTAGATTTCGTACCAAGATCAAATATTAAGGAACAATTTGATAACACTTCCCTACTAAAGAACTCGATTTTACTAGAAAAAAATGCAATCAACATATATAAGTGACATTGATTTTATATAAAAAACACGAGAATATATACAACAGCAGAGTGAACATAAAGGTCATGCACACAAAATACAAACATAATAAAAATCCTAATAGTAATTATTGTTATTGAGCAAAATTTGCTTCAGCCAAAAGAAGAACGCAAAACTTATGATGAACAAACTCAAGAAGGGCTTCAAGAACAAGAAATAAGATTGTAAGACATAATAGTCATCACTAGAACAAGCAACTTTAGAAAAATCCATGTCACAGGTACCTACTGCCATGGTTTCCCCGACAATGAGGATTTTTTAAGATAAAATAAACCCTAGGGCTTCATTTTTACAGGGGATGCATGTAGTAAACCATATGGGAATCGGATATTCATAATATTATTATTATCATTAATGGGTTATGTGTTAAGCACAAGGAACTAATATCCATACTTATTCATACTGAATAAGGTCTATTTCGATAATACAGAATCTAGTATTCCTGTCCGTAAATATTCACAAACTGTTCCATATCCGTCTAAATTCCTACCAACCATATACTTATCCTCAATGGCTGTCTATAAATACGGTGTTCATTTGCCCATGTTTTTAAAATATATCTAACTTACTCCACTTATTGCCTCAACGCTCATCTGGTCGTGAAGCCCGCACGCCTCTCATCGCCACCAGTGGCGTAATTAGGAATTTGGTTTGGGGGGGGATTATAGGTTTTAGCAAAATCTGTACACCTCATACAGTAACCCCCCAGAACAAAATTTTTAATAATTTTAATTTTAATAATAATAATAACAACAATAGTAATCGTAATAATAATAATTATTATAATAATCATATTATCACAATATAATAAATAAAAAAATTACATAAAAAAAGTTTTAGGGGGGGTCCATCACCCTAATACCCCCTAATTACGCCCCTGATCGCCACCAGCTCTGAGAAGTAAATTTACACTTTTCTCAAGCATAGCTTATGTACTCTGGCCCCAAATATTCAATTACTATTTTATTAATATTTTATTTGTATTATCTTTACATTTTATAAATCATTATTTTTATTTGTTTAACATTAAATCACAGTGCTTTGTTATTCAAACACCTTCCAACATCTCAACATTATTACAACATCACCGACGTGAACCGTTCAAGTATTTAATCGTCTACGGTGTATAGTGTCATCTTATCGCAGGTCGGTTCGCTACACTGTTCTAAAACATATTTTATTTAAACGAGAACACTTCTTACTCTAAAATAATGTAACAAAATATAGGTACTAGCTCTTTCAACTTAATATATGTATGTAACTAACAAATTACTATTAATAAATTTAATTAAATAATTATAATATTTTAATAAATTACTTTGCCTCATAAAATAAAATCCAAACGATGGAAATATTAAAAGTTAAACATTCGTTTAAAAAGACGTGTAAACGTATAATGAAGGTGATCGTCGTTCGTAAACATATAATACTTCTTATTTTAAAATTTAGATGGAAACATAATTATCCAAAAAGAGAATTAATATACATCAGTTAATTGTTGTGACTTCGAAGTTATTTATAATGGAATAAGTATAATATAAATCTATAATTGTATAAGCACTTTTTCGAATATACCTCATAAAAAATATAAATAAATAACCTAGAACCGCGTCGACAATTCCTGTATAAAAGTATAGGCTGCCGTCGCGGCGTGTGATCTTGTGACGTAACACAGCTATCTCTTTTGGGTTCTAGCACCTCAACGAATCGATATACATATACAAATTTTAGTACCACCGATAGTTATATTTATTCATTATCTTAAGCCAAAATCTTTAAATTGTTTCGTGGGCCTTTAATATAAATTAGTTTAGTTGATAAAATAAATTTACTTGACTGAAAGGTTTAGTTTTTGTTTGCATAATGAATTGAAATTTACACAGTTCACAGCATCGTATGTTCGATGATTTTATCCATTGTTGTAAGCATACTTGATGAACAAATCGTAATGAACCGGCACAATAACACGGAGCTATTAAGGGTGTGTCAATATCGCCTTCACAATGACAAATTCTAAAAAAAAATAAAGTAAAATATAAAAAGAGATAGAAAACAAAAATTCAAGTTTAATCAGATAATTATTTTTTAATCCTCCAAATATTAATTAAACTACAAAAAAAATTACATTTTCAATTCTTATCAATATATTGTTATTATAACTCATTTTTTGCTGATTTTGGTGCTATAATATAACAAAATAAAATTAACTCATGTAAATAAAAAAAAAAAAAATGTAGAATAATTAAAAAATCTTTCATAACATTGTCTATGTCTTTAAAATAGGCAATATTGCCAAATAAATTCAAAACTGCTTTGTTTAGAGTACTTAATATTATAGTTTTAACATCTATTATCAAATTTAAAGAAGAGAATATTTTTGATATAATATTAAATTATATTTGTAAAATATTAACTAACACAGAATTTATAATAGAATAAGTAATATTATAGTATAAGAATGTGTAGAATGTTAACATCTTTGTTCTAACAAATATTACAAAAATGATATGAAATTATCTCAGAAATATTTTTATAATGAGATAATAAATTATACATGCTTTCTTAAATGTTTATTTTAAATACATATACATTTGTTAGAAATATAGAATATAAAATACTATTATTTAATACTTATAATATGAATGTATATGAAATATATATGACAATTTTAATCAAATAATTTCATTAATTTTTAAGAGTAATACATTATAATTTTATAATTATACCGGCAAATATCAAAATTCATTGAAGAAAAACTGGTGTTTCGAGAAAATCCGTCATCATTCTTCATCTTCTGTAAAAAATAAAACAATATTATATTTCAAAATGATTCCTACATAATACACCATGATTATTTCATCATTTGATATCTGCTAATAAATTAATAATAATCTTGAGCGATGAGAAATTATTGGTTTAACAATGTAATAATTTTATACTTCGATACATAAAATTATACACAAAAACTTTTTAGGAATCAGATTTCAATGCAGAAGCAAATTATTTCTGAAAGGTTTGACATAATGCATTCTAAAGATACAAATGTGTTTAAAGAACACATTTTTCCTCAAAAAATAAATAAATAAATAAATAAATAAAATTGAATTGTAGGTTTAAAATTTAAAGTTTTCTAATAATTCAAAATTATTATACAATACTCCTTTATTGTCAGTAAATAAATTATTGTTTATCAATTTATTACTATAAAAATTATCTGATATACTGTTATAGTTATATAACATGTTTATCTTTGTGATAGGGTATTTATTGTTTTCATTTAATTCGAAATATTTTTCATTCATTGTTTTTTATGTTAAACATAAATTATAAAAAAAAAAATTAAATTGTTGAAAATGATGGGTAGAAACATGAAAAGAGATAAGCATTAAAAAAATTTGCAAAATATTTTTGAAGTACTTTGTAGAATTGTATTTAAAAAGTTAGCTCACAACAGATGAACCAGTCCTATAATAAAAAAAAAAAATATGCATAGTACTTATCAATCATAACCATTTTTCTAAATTAAATTTAAGTAGATTAGTTTTAAAGAGTAATCTGTAATTAACATTAAAAAAAAAAAAAAAAATTGAACAGACATAAAAAAAGATTTTAATGAAACTATAAAAAAAGAATGTTATTATGAAATTGCAAGGATAATTGTAATTAAATCTTAAGTAAATTGATATAGAAATACACCATGAATTCATAGTACCCACTCTTATACTATCACCTAAATTAAAATATAAGTATGGCAAAAGGCCAACAACATTAGACTATTTATTTTATACAAAGAACATGAAAAATAATTCAAATAGAAATAATTTAATAATTAAATAATAACACTGATAATTTAATTTAAAAATGGTTTTTTTTCATATGAAAATATAAATATATATATTTAAATATTTTTTAATGAAAAAATTAATTATTATTTAAAATTTAAAAAAAAAAACTATAACTATATATATATACATTTTCAACAAGAGTAATACCAGGTTAACCAATCTAAATTTTGTTTGAACATTTTTTAATAATTAAAATAATTCAAGATAAGTATTAACACTTATTTTTATAATAAACATACAATTAATATAGACAAAAGTACTTAGATTTTCATTTTAACTTAAAGGGAAATTATAAAAATAATTATTATATTTTTTAATAAATGAATCGGTTTTTTCAAAAAATAAATGAGAATATTTTAAACATTAAAAATGTATATTTTAAGCTCTCAAAATTTAATTAATTATTTAATCATAAATTATTTTCTAATAAATAATGTAAACATAATAAACATTTGTTATCAATGATATTTAACATGGCTTACAGATTAATGGATAGTGATCCATACAAAAATCTATTTTCAGTTTAGACTATACAAATACTTTTATTTTTGCTTAGTTATTCATTATTATTAATATATCATAATATTTATAAAGAATCAAAATGAAGTTATTAGAATGATATCATAAACAATTATCAAATAATTGTGCCTGTAATCTATTTAATTAATATTTATAATAAAAAATATAAAAAAAACCTATGAAATATTACACATAGTTCTACATAAAATTTGTTTTATATCCACATATAAAATATTTTTTTTAATTACAAATAAATGCATAAAACAAAGGAATACTTTTAACTTCAAAAATATTATAACTATTAATTATAATAGTATTATGACCGAGAAACACTGTTATTTATCAGTAAACCCATACATCAATATCTATAAGCAATATAGTTTGAAAAATAAGATAAAGTTAGTTTTATAGATTTGTTTTTATTTTTCATATACGATTAACATACACCAGTATATCGACCTTCGCTTATCAATAATAACAAGATAAATAAAAACCATAGACATGAATTATTATACTAAATTATGCCTATGATTAACTAAGTTATGAACTATTCAATTACACAACATTTCATGAACCTCCATTTGTAATTAATATATAACATTAAAATATGAACAGTATATGAATTAGAATAGATATTCAATAAAAAAACTCATTAGGTCAGAACTTGTTCAAGAATTTTGGAAAAAAGTACATAATAAATATTTGTTTCGTATATTTTTACAAAATCAATATTTATCTATTTTGACCTTGTAAAAATGTGTATAGTAATTTTTAAACACAATGTAATAAAGTAAAAAATAATATTCACAAAAAAATATATTTTAAAATAATTTTAAATTGTCTTATAATAATCAAAAGAATAGGTTAGTTTTATATAAAAATAAGTTAAAATAGTTTACAATTTTATTAAACAATTTAATTTTTAATTTCTCATTAAAATTAAAAAAACATGTAAGTAACTCTTACATAATCAAAACTATAAACTATAAAAAATTTATAAAATTAACATTTTTGAAAGAAAAATTGTGGTATATGAGTTACCATGGTGATTCATTTTTAAATAGGTTTTGAGAAATCAATTTATAATTCATAGTAATAAGATACAAGTGTAACTAGTACTAAAATTTAAAAAGTGCTAAAAAATACTAAATACTTATATAAAATAGCTTACAGGCAAAATAGAGCTTTCACTCACTTTCTTCCGAATTGTTTCATCTAATAAGAGTTATTTTTATTACCTGTACTATAAGAGTTAAAATTTGTTTTTCATTAAATGTCCTATATTAACATTCTGTAAGTTATAGGTACTAATTTATTTTAATTAAATTACATTTTAATAAATTTACCGTTAGAAAATAGTTAAATGTTATGAGGCATTAAATAAATTACCCTACATATATTATTTGTAATTAATTTAATTATATTTAAGTAAATAATCATTTTCTTATTTTCAAACTGATATTTTTTAAGTAAAAATTAAAATAGTTTGAAGAAAAATTAAATTATTTCTTAACTAGGTTGTACCTCAGCTCCCAATACATTCTAATATTAATCGGTTAACGACAAGATGTGTACCAATGAGGTAGACGTGAAATCATGAATAGCAGAATCCAACACAACGTAATTTTAAATATCAATATGTTATATAATTAATAGTTATGATAATATAATAGTTCAAATTATTTTTATAATTATTAATTACTATTAACTGGGAATACGAAAATTTGAACGTTTACCGATTGCTGTACGACAGCTTGGACATCCGTAGGATCAGATCTGGTCAGTTTCTCTTGCATGGCACGGGGACGAAATGGTGAATCATAGGTCTGGTCGAGAACGGTGGAAAAACGGAGAGACGGATCGGCGGTCCAATCGGTGAACCATGGAACGAGACGAAAACGGCAAGGGTTCGGGACCTGGTGCGTAGCGGATAAAACAACGACGGTCTGCGGATGGAGTTCACGAACGAGACGATAACAACGGTACGAAGGCACGGGACTGTGTGGCACCGCGGCACAAAGACACCTACCAAAGCGCACTGGCCCAGATGTGAGACGCACACACGTTCTGACCGGACATCGACCGCAACGTCACAATGCTCATTTCGCCGCCGCCGCAGTCTCTTTCGACAAGTTCAACGTATCCCCTGCGTGTGCGCGCACTGCGGAGCCGATCGAGCGACACAAAGGAATCGGACCACAGCGCTGCGGGCCGTGGGCAACGCCGAATGCACAGCGCGTGCAGTTAGCGGTGGTGTTACGGCGATGGTAGCGGACGGGAGCAGCAGGACTGCAGCAGGAGCAGAGCGACCGCTTCCCCAGGTGGATAAGTGATGCGACCGACTGATAACGCGACCAGCGGCGGTGAATCCGTGACGTCACGGCTTATCCGTCGCGTCATCACGGGTCGTTCAAACAAATCCCATGGTATTGCTACGAAATGTTCGGTTTTTTCCTTTTTATTTTTTTTTTCGGATCCGAGGAGCAACCCGACCCCCAGACCATGGTCCCTTGACAATTTTTGGTGAAAAAAATTATTCAGATTTTCCCTTTCCTCAATTGGTTTTTATTTGTTTTTAAACAAAAAATGACTTCTAAATGATGTAGGAATAAAAAAAAAAAAAAATGTAATCTAGTCTAAAGTTCAATTTTCTGATTTTAGTTGATAATACATTTAAAACATTTAAATTTCCTGATGTATGTTTAGAATTGCCAAATCATTTAATCTATTCTCTGATGTTGTTTTCCTAATTAGGAAACGTTTTATTTAATAAAAATTAGTTTGTGAATAGGTAGTCAGAAAAACGTTTTCATCACGCTGAAGAAATGTTTTAATTACATTCTCAGTTTTGAGATTTGAACAATATTCTCTCCATAGTTTCAACTTTCCTATGGCTCCAATTTCAGTAGTATCAATATTAACAATATATAGATAACATTATTCATTTTATTATTTCATTTACTCCGTCATTTAAAACCGACGAAGTTAGTTTCTCTGTTAAAAAACAACTAAAGTGAATAAGTTTTTGTGAATAATATATTCTATGAATCTGTCATTAAGCTGGGTTAAAAAACTATCTAAGAAAGGAATACAATCTATCAACTTACCCTAAATATATAGGTATATGCAATCTGCCCCCTCCCCAGGGGCGGCTTTACAGTCTTGGTTAAGAAAGAGAGGGGAAGTTATAATTTTATAAAATCTCATAACAAAAAAAAACAACAATTTTTACAACACAAATTCAAGTCGTCTATTTTTAAAATTGGCAAAGATATCAATAATATGATCTATTTGATTCAGAATATCTACTGTATGATATACATTAATTAGACATAACGCTGGTTGTCTATCTTCAGTCATCCTTGAACGAAGCCAGGTTTTTAGTCTTCCAAGTGTGGAGAAACTCCTTTCAACCATCATACTTCTATGGCTCTACATACTTGTGCGTGTCGTATGATAGTCCATAATATGCATTTTTTGTTAACAATATAAATTTTTTTATAAATACGATATGGGCTTGGGGGGCCGAAATAAGCGTTTTCCAATACTCAAGTATTCCTGTTTACTAGGAATTTACTAAATATAATCAACTCCGCTAATCAGCTTATGCGAATATTTTAAGCTCGGGCCCGAATTTTAACCAAGACGGAGCGTGTTTACATAAGGACAAGAGCGGACCGGGCTAGTAAAAACCTACTGTACTAAAATTTACCTTTTTGATAGATTTAGAGAAGCAATTATTTATTTTTTTTTTTTTTACATTATTTTTTTTATACACTATTGAATGTGAATTTACTTATATACAATTATTTATTTGTACCTATAAAATGATAATTATGATATAAATATAACACATTTTTCATAATTTAAATTTAAATCAACATCGGTTTATAATGTTTATTATAATTGGTATGTTATAATACATTTGTTATTGATGCAGGGCTCCATAACACAATGGCCTACTGTCCTACAGGAAAGTAGGCCAGTGAGCCAATTCACCCCTGCATAAGGCTCCACGCCGGTCAGATGGTGTGAACGTCACAACGGGAATGTGTTCAGAATTGCGGTCGTCCAAGTCGTGTGAGACGAATCCCGGTCGGAGTGGCTCTGGCGAGCGACGCGGACGATAAGCGAAGTGCGTAAAAGGTCTCTGAAAGGTGTTTTTTTTCTAAAAAAAAAAAAAATGATGATGTCATCATCGTACTTGGGCGCAGCCAGCCTACCGCGTGTCAGTGTATTCGTTCGTTTTCGAGTTTCGCCGCCGCAAATGCATCAGTCACTCGACGGGGAAAAAATTACCCGCCGTGAATTGTCTGCGAAGTCTATCAGCTGATGACAGTAGGGCGGCGGCGAGGGTAACATTGGGATAGGTGGCGGGAGAATTCACACGCAACGCTGCCGCCGCAAAACCAAAACAAACGCTAACGGTCCGGTTGATAAACATTGAACCATTCAGAAGATTATAATCGTGTCTCTAACTCGCGTTATAATAATTCGTATGGTTTAAAATATATTAAGTAATTAAGAATTCTGATTAGATTATTTCTATTTAAAATAAAGTATTTATAAATACATACGATTGGCATGTATATCACTGTGCATGGTGTTTTTTTTTCTTTTTGTCACTAACTACTTTTACATTCTTATGGTGTGTCGCCAAGTACGAAATAGAGTGATGACAATCACTACGTCTTCTGACGATTACACGAGACACGTTTCCGTGGTATTTTGACGGTAAACCCTAGTCGACACACAGAGTTCGTGAACAGCGACGAAATGATGGTCGATTTGGTCCAGTACTATGAGTACTCAAACAAGCTCATCTCGTCCGTATCCGTCTTCAATTCGTTCATATTCACTACCGACGACGGCTTGTTGATCATCGTATGTACAAATTATCACCGCCGTCGTCAGTTTTGATGCACCACTATAGTTATGATTCATGTGTGCTTGGGTTCTAACAAAACGCTTTCTTTCAGGATTTGCAATCGGACCTCTTCAGACCGTCTGCCGATTTCAAGGTATTCCGCATGTCGCTCGATTACTCAAAAGAAAAACCGTTTGAGGATAAGAACTTCAAGGAAATACGCTTCCAAGGACCGGTAATATGTCAAGAACATAATTTAACTGTGTTACCCGACAGTCATCAGTGAGTTGTTAATATCTGTTTCTTAATTGGTTATTCAAGGGAATTGGAAAATACTTTGCATATTAGTTATGCTGGATAGTGAATTATAACTAATACTTTTTATTGTTTCCCTTTTGTTGTTCTATTTCTGTTTTCCAATTCCTTTATTAGCTGTCCTTATAAATATATAATATTAATGTTTTGTTTGAATATGTTATAATTAACAACAGTATTAACCATGTTCAAATGTAATGTTACTTATATTCATATTGTTTCAGTTTAAATGTCATTTATATGGGAAGTAATAGCAATATTGTTTTCTTGGAAAAAAAAAATAATGAGTGGATAGAAAATTTAAGTGATTTACCCCAAAAATGGTTCATGATTGTTTCAAAAAAACCTGATTTCTTAATAAACAAAACTAATATTAACATCCTCAAAATGGAAAACCAAATTTTTTATTATTGTCGAGAAAAAGAAAAAGAATTACAAATTAAAAGTTAGGATTTACGTAAATTCTTTTTTTATCATTTTTATCATATCTCAATATAATTTAAATTCATTACAGGTTTTGTTTTTACTCACATCTTGAAATATGAAAATGGAACTGAAGTTTATGGAACAATATGTTGTCATTTAAATAATAAATTGACATTTTGGTTAACTACATCAAAAAAATCTTCATTTTTGACTGAGTATGAATTTCATAGTGCTTGTATAAAGTACATGAAATGGTTTCGTATCTCAAATGAATTATGTAAGTCAATTTAATATATTTTTGCATATTAATTGAAAAATATTTGAAATTTTTTTTTATCAATGAATAACTGTTTTATTTTGTTTTTAGCATGGTTATTGATTTTTTTGACAACTGGTCAAATTTATGTTCATGAAATATGTCAATATCCTAATGTGCAAAATACTTTTTATTTGTGGTCAGATGAAGACTGTGCCTATGTAAAAAATATTTGGATAGAATGCATCTCAAATAATAAATGTTTGATATTTTTAACAAAAATGTCATTTGTATTGATTATATTGTATTCATTAACTGAAAAAAAAATTTTATCATCCAAAAAAGAAATGATTCCTAAAACTGCATTCATACCAGGTAATTTCAATATTTTTTTTATTTATCAACATTTTTTTTTCTTATATTATATTTTTAGGTATTACATTCATAGTAGAAAAAAATTTGTTACTTCTAGTAACAGATGTTGGTAAATTTATTTGTATGTATATTTCTACTACAAATTCAGAAGTGACTTATACTTTAAAGACAATAAATAATAATTTCAAGAAACAAGTACAAAAATTTACATGCACATCAGTTATTTTTTCAAAAAATCAGTGCGCTTGTGTTTTAACATTTGAGTAAGTTAAAATAATTTTACTTTAAAAATATTGAAATCATTATAATATATATTATTATATATTTTAGATGCAACTTAGCTAAATATAGTAAAAATGATGGTCAGATTAAAAATAAACTTGTATTTTGTGTAATTCCTGAAAACTTAATAGAACTAGAAAATAAAATTTTATCCGTGACTAATAACAAATATGATGATGTTATTGATTGTCTTGAGTCTTTGAGGTAATTATACACATGTAATATTATGATTTAATTATATTATATAGATATATATATTAATAATTTTGTTTGTCTTATATATTATTTTTATTTTTTATAGGATAATTAGAATGAATGATTTAAGTAATGAATTATTTGAGTTTGATAGGAAATCCTTAGACAAATGTTCCATTCAATATCTTAAACTTACTTATTGGAAAATAGCATTTAAAAATAATAAAAGTAAACACGATGAAAATATTTTAAAAGAATTGCAAATGTTACTTCATATGAATTACTTAATTAACTGTTATTCTAAGAAAAAATGTAGTAATGTGGAGCAATATTATTGCCGAACAATGCTATCACATTACAATAATAAGTTACCTGATGAATATGCTCAAATTAAATCAGAGGCTACTAGATTAATTTGTTTGTTTATTGATGCCAAACATACTTACTTTTGCAACACATGTGAGCGAGTACTGATGACATTTACAGACTTTAGAATGTTCATTTGTGAAAAGGAACACAAAGAACTTAGATGTCCGGTCACATTAGGACCACTAGGTTTACCATGTTTGGTATGTTCAATGTGTAAAACCATGGCTAATGTTAATGCAAGTAAGTTTTTCAAGATAAAGATTTTTACAAATTATTACCTGAACAAGAGCTACATATTTTAGTTTGCTTATTCTTGGACACAGATTTTAAATTGAAAATTAAACATTTTGCTGTAATGTTTTAACAAAGGCAAAATAAAAATTTAAATAAAAAACATTAAACATTGAAGTATAATATATAATTTAATATAAATATTGAACATATCTGTTCTATTTAATATATTTTATTAGTTTCTCTAGTTGTCAAAACAACTTAAAACTTCTTTAATAAATAAAGTAAATATTATTTAAATTTTTCAATAAAATTTCATTAAATTTTGATTAATTAATATTTGCTTCATATTATCATTTTTGCATTTAATTTAAATACTTATTATATTAAATAATTTAACTATTTATTTTGATAACAACTGAAATATATATCGTATAACATGTAATTTTTATTACAGAAAATCAAGTCTGCGTTTGGTGTTTTGGGAAGTATTTACCAAATGAATTACTATTCTAGTTATTTGTAAATAAATGTAATTACAAATCATGATGACTGACATTTAAACTTTTTACATGGAACTAAATAATTGGCACTAAAATGCAAGCTTGTATACTATTGTTTTTATTATATTTATTAAATTTTATTATTTGTTTTGAAAATACTTGTTCTTTTCTTTTTTAATTGTTTATATTTAAAAAAAAAAATAAGAGTAATATATTTATACGTCAATAAAATTATTTATAGCATAAAAATTGTCTGTTAATAAAAATAAATGTTAACATAGGCTTTGTTTAGAAACAAGTACTGTTGAAGAGTTAAATAATGGTTTGAGCCATATACTATTTTTGAAATATGTATAGTTCTGTTTAGGAAATATAAGAAATTATTACTTTTGATTTTTCTGTAAATTTTATTATTAAAAAAAAAAAAAAACCGTTTATTTTAAATATAGCTATAAGCTAAACTATTAAATTCCGCCTAAAGCAGAATACTATATTGGTGAAATTATGTGATTCTTTCAAATCTATCATGTTTATTATAATATCACAATTGCTAAAGTAATAAATAAAGAACTTGGTTAATCTCATTTATAGTTTAAATAGAATCATGTTCATATTATTAAAATGAACATTTATTAGGTTTAAGTTATTTTATTAGAAAAAAAAATAATATTTACAACAAAAAATGGAAATAAAGAGAAAGAATTGTGAATATGGAAAAAATAAAGACAATAATAAATGTCGACGAGCTAATGAAAATAAAAAAGGGTTGTGCATTTCAACAGTAATTATTGTTGGCACCATTAGCAGATTCAATAACTCGTAGACGATTTTTATTATTTATTCAACAACCAGTTGCATTTAAGATTGGTTGGTGGCGCGAGCGGCGGTTATGAGTGTAGTAGTGTATTTAAAATATGTTATACCGCCAGCAATAGTTGATTGCTTAATTCTAGAGATTTAAAGAATAGTCATTGTACGGTAAACTCGTTGACGATGGTGGTGATACGAAAATATTCCTACAACTGAATCTACATAGACTACGGATTTTAGTACCTTTTCTATCTGTATCTATTATGTATTATTAATGCAAGTTTTATTACATATGCACACAATAAAAGGGTTAAATATTTCTAAATTATAGGAAAATGTGTAGGTAATCAAATAGTCCCTTACTATTTAAAAATACCTTACTTCAATCCAATATCACTGGACAGAAAAATTGAACGTTACCTTTAAAAGGACTGTATAGTATGGAAAAATTTCTGCGAACGGCCTTGAAAAGAGATGTTCAGTGGTAACACTTCTAAATTATGAGCTTTGTAGGTAGGTTCCTATCTACCCATTCATGGTTATTATTTTTTTTTAGTTCAAAATAGGTATGTTAGGTATTTTCTTCTCAATTAATATATTTTAATGCTTCATTACAAGTGACTGTTATTTAAATTTAAATTTTTGTTATATATTTTATTTACTAAACAAAAATGTACATATAACATGAATACATTTATATTTTATTAATATATATATATATATATTATACAGTGGCGTAGCTAAGATTTTCTGAAGGGGGGTGTTAATTATATACTTTGTAACGTAATAATACGTACAAACTAAAACTTTTATTTTAATTAATTAATATGTATACATAATGTCTGTAATAGAAATGTAATGTACATTCGAATTTGGATAGCTTTATCATAAATCATTCGAATACTTGACTATTCGAATATCAGTATTCGATGCTACAATACCTATTATTATTAAACGTTTTGTGTTGCACGAAAACGTAAACGAATAATTTTCGTCACGTATTGTCGCAATCGCGATAATGTTAACCTGTATTTATGTAATTAGTATTGTGCATTATTTTATATTTTATATTGTATTATCTTATATTGTATTTACCTATATTCCTATAATAATGTAATATATGATACGGCTCAAGGAGGGTGTCATATCTTCCAAACACCCCACTTATATACGCCACTGATATTATATACTTAGGTACAACAAAATAAAGCTTATGGTTGCGGATGAAATAAGGTCACAAAGTATATGCTATGAATAATTGTGATAAGCGATCTCCAATATTGTGCAAACACGTTTGATTATTAAACGACTATAGGTAGAACTATAGCAAAATAGTGTACAGTTAGAACATGATGTGTGAATTGCAGTGAAAACTTTTGTAATCTTATGGTCCACCAATTATTACATTGATTTGAACAAATAACATCAAACTTTTATGGTAGAAAAATTTAAACATTTTATATAATTCAAATACTGGAAAGAATATAATGTTTATAATGTTTGTAATGAAACTTTTTTTGGTAATTTCTACACAATTCTTTAACAACCTACCCTGCTTAATTTACTGGCACACAGAAATATGATAAAGTATATTATTATAAATGATAAGAATGCTTATCAGTTAATTGGTTGTTTATAGATTATAACAGAATAGAATTATACACCATATCATCGGCTAAATTTTGACATTATATTTTTAAAATTTTACACTTTCCGTCTGTTGTTGAATTTTCTCAGTGATGATGTTTACAAATCGAATATCAGTAAAATATATTGTTTGAAGAATTTGTTCTTACTAATTAACTTTCATTGTTATTCCATATTAACTTATAAAAATATGTTGTCGGTGTATAGTATTAAGTTCAAATTACTTGCCTTGTTCTTAATAAATATTTGTTGTTCACAAGAATTCAAAGGGTTTGATGATACTATTTTGTACAAAATAAATTGGCCTGGTAAAGATGTCACTGACCGATTGGTTAAAGTAAGTTGAAAACCATGTATATTATATTTTTTATTATGTTTTGATCTGGTTTAAATTATTAAATAATCTACTTATGTACAAGTAATTAAATGAGCAAAACTTCTATGTAATATACATAATTCAAAAATGATTTTGGAAGTTAAAGTCCAAAATAGATAGAATTATAATTATTAAGAGTTATTTTCTTTATGACAGTAACAAATATTATGGTGAAAATAGCCTAACAGTTTTAATGTATCTAATCTGTAATTTGTCTCTTAACTGATTTTAATATAATTGTTATGGGCTACCAATTGTAAATTTATCAGGAACAAGAAGAAAACATTTTAAACGTGAAAACAGCTATTGGTGAATCATATCAGTGTATTTTACCTAAGCAAGATGAAGTAAATAAAGAATCTGAACCATCATATAATGGGCCCAATCCACTGGAACTATTATCACCATTATTTTCAAAACAAGCTTGTTCTTATAGAGTAAATATATTTACTTAAATACTTTCAACATATTTTATGTGTAATATTATTTTATTTAAAGGTCGATACTTATTGGATTTATGAGATCTGTCATGGAAGGCATGTTAGACAATACCACAATGAACGCGAAGGAAAGATACAAAAAGAACAAGAGTATTTTTTAGGAAAATGGAAAATTTTTGATGGTCTTAAATTAGGTAGTGTTAAAAATATAAATAAATATTTTTTTATATTTTTTAAATGTTTTAATTTGCTTACTGTATTGTTATATATTTAAGGATGTATTGTGATATTAATCAATCTTGAAAATGATTCAATAATTTGTTAGAAATTTAATTATTTTGAAGTCCTGTTTTGACAAATGTATTAGATTTAGTATTATTCAATAATGCATACTAAAGCAAATAATTGTGACAAAACGCTAATTATTCAAATTGTATATAAATTGCATATTATAGAAATTATGTCAATTGTATTTTCATACAGTGACATTTATGCAATCAGTGACTTATTTCCTCAATTAATCTAATAATGATCATCCCATTAAAATACAATAATAATAATATTAAATCAACTTTAAATATTATAATTTATTATCTATTTTTATTAAATTTTTATAAATTATTTATCTATTTGTTTTTGCTTTTTGTTTGAAAAAAAATATAGGAAGAAAATACAGATTTTTGATTTTTATTAAAGATACCCTATAATGTGTATCTTATTATTTTACAGAGGAAGAACTAAAAAGATTAATTAATTTAAATTATCCTGGACCTACAAAGACAAGAAAAGTTGATGGTGTGAATTTACCATACTTTGAAATGAACATGTCTGATGGTACAGTTTGTGATCTTAATGGACGTCCACGACAAACCAATGTGTTATATGTTTGTTATCCACCAAGTAAACATAATGTATTTTCGGTAAAAGAAACCTCCACTTGTCAGTATGAAGTAATAGTATTAACATCATACTTATGTTCTCATCCTTGGTATAAGTAAGTATAATAATTAAGGTAATCTACTTTTCATGAATTTAATGTTTTTGTGTAGTCGTAGAAAATTAACTATCAATTATTTTACAGACCACCTAACAGTGATGAACTAAATATTGATTGTCTCCCAGTTGATGATTCACCACGTAAACCTCACAACTTAAAAGTTTTGCAATCCGATACATCTAAATTGAAAAAGCAAATTAAAATGTTAACAGTAAGTTAATATTATTGTGTTTTAGATACATTTGTGCTGTTTGCTTACTAGTTAAAGTTTTTATTTATTTATGTACTTAGTTTTTTGTTTGAAATTATTTTATTTTATTATTTTTAAAGGACCCTCTCAATAAAAAGGAAATTTACAAACTATTTGTTTCAATAGACAAGGTTTATTTTTATATTTATTTTGCTTTTAATGTTTCTTTTGCTAAGTTATTTATAATTTAATAATTATAATCACTAATAATACTTGTTAAAATGTTCTTAAATACAAATTAATTTTTCAAGAATGGAGAAACTAAAATACATGTTAAAATACAACCAACATCTGAAACCGAATCTAATTTACCAAAGGATGAATCTTCTTTAATGATGCATTCTAAAACACCGAATAATGAAATTGAAGAATATATAAATGGTGATATATGTTTATATGGAGTAAGTTTAATTAAATTAATAGTATTTTAAAGAATAGTCTATTATTTATATCGTTTTTATCGAAAACATTACAGCAATACAATTACAAAAATAATAGTCTACATTGTGTTTAAATTTCAGGGATCAGGATGGTGGAAATATGAAATTTGTTATAATAAATATATTCAACAAGTACATAAAGAAAAAGGGAAACCTGATGAAGTTGTTGTTTTGGGAGTATTTAATTTGCAAGAACATATCAAATGGTTATCCCAAAATGAAGAAAAAAAACCTAAATCTGATACTAATGGTGTTCGACAAGTTGTATCTCATTTTTATTCCTCAGGCTCCATTTGCCAAAAAACTGGTGAAAAACGAGAGACTGAAGTAATTATTAAATGTTAGAATATTATAAATTATTATACTTTAAATTTTTTTATTTTTAGGTTAGGTATAAATGTGTAAAAGGTCGTTATAATGAAGATAGTGTTGCGCTTTATTTGTTAGAGCCAAAAACATGTAAATACGTATTGACTATAGAATCACCATCACTATGTGAAATTATTAATGGACCATTGGATGAATATGGAATATTCAATTTAAAATTACGTCATGGTAACAAAAATGAGAAAATTAAAATTACATCAGAGAAAGAGGAAGAGGATAAGCTTAAGCAACATATTGAAGAACATGTACTCAGAAAAGAAGTATTTCATCCTCTTGAACAAGAAGCTGAAGAATCTGATAAAAAAAAGAAATTGAGTAAAATTGAGTTATAATGAATATCTCATCTAATTTATGTTTTGTGTATATAATTTAAAATATCTTTGCATTTTATAGTGGGTGTTAATATTTTGTTAATTAAATATTATTTGCCAAATAAAATGGGTCCATGTTCATGTAATTTGTAGTTTTATTTATTTATTTTTAACTACTTCATAATAAGTAAGAAATTTCAAGAATTTTTTTTTCTGGTAATAAATATAAATAGTAGACTGTAGACTAATTGCTTATCATCGAAGAAACTTGGTAACCGAATAAATGTTTTTGTCATTTTTGAGTACAAAATTTTAAAATATAATTTAGTATCATTGGTACTTAATTACACTTAACCGTGATATTTGGAAGATCTAATGTGACGACCGAGATCGAAGTCATAAACTGGTGACATGTCCCGGGACGTGTGGCAACCCTAACGTAAATTCCATACTATGGGAGTGAAAACCACACGGAGACAGTTTCATCGCTTTTCTGTCGGCCGCTTGCCCAACTCAAAAGCTGCATTGTTATTATGCCGTTCCGTATGCGCATTAATATATGATTGTGGAAAAGACGCACTAGTGGCGCGTAGGGAAGTTGCGATACTACCGATACCAATAAAGTATCGTTACTTTTCTTTTGATACAAGTACTTTTTGTATCGATACCATGATTTCGATACTTTATATATATAGATAAAAAAATACTGGTATCGAATGAATAGTGACGTAGCCAGAGGGGGTTTTGGGGGTTCATCTCTCTCCCTTGGCCTAATAAAAATGGAGGACGTTATAGTCCTATAAATGTCTTTATGATCTTTTTTTTCTTTTCATCGATTTTTTTTTTTTTTTTTTTATTTGATAAAATAGAATATTTACAATCTCTAATATTTATATACAATACAATAAGTAAATTTGATAATATAAGGAACATTAACGTGAAATGGCGTTTCACCATAGTCTATCAGTGGATACACCTTAAAGTTTTACAAGTACCTAAATGTTAAAACCAAATTCAATTTATGGGCCATACGATGAATGAAAACTACTTCAGGGTGTAAGTCTCTTATTCTAGTATGAACACTAAAAAAATTATATGATTTATAATTTATCAGCAATAATTATTTTTAATTTATATAAATAAATAATCAAGTAAAAAAACATACTTTTTCCAATTGTTGTATCCAGTTTCCTACTTTTAAATTCTTTGCAAAATTAATACATTTAAAGCAAAAAATAACATTATAAAATCTACTATATTCTAGTAATTTAAATTTACTATAGTATATAACATTAAAACTTCTATTCTGAGTTCAAAATGTTGAAATGTCTAGAAAAAATAAATTCTTCAATATTTTCTTTGTAAATCAAAATAATGTAACACGATATACTAAAACTATTTAATATATTATGTTATTAATCAAGAATCCAGTTATTTATTGTTTTATTCTAACTATAATTAATTTATTATTTAAGTATTTTTTATTTACCTGAAATTTAGGTTACTTTAGGACCCAAATTAATGTCACCCTAATCATCAGACCGTATATCAGGGGCGGATCTAGGGGTGGGTTCAGGGGGTCAGCTAACCCACAGTTAATATTTGTTGACAAAATTGGTCTCTTGGAAATTTTTTTCTCTTTTTAGACCTTTATTTGCACTCTTGGACAGTTGGCCCATCGGAGTTACTTGAAAAATGAATGCCATGTATGTTCAAAATTTAAAATTTTTCAATTCATAATTTATATTTTAAATTATATTATTTTAGTAGAAAGTAAAGTAAATCATATTCGGTACGTTTGTTGAGCTGATAAAATTAGATTATATTTATTAATCGTAAATAAGTCATTATCGGTGGTATCACTAATTCTAAAATGTAATATAAATAGGTATACACTTTTATGAGCATATTGTGTTTTTTTTTTTTTACAAGGTATTAATTTCTAATTCAGCTTCATCCCTAATAAATGGCCTCTTGAAATGGCTTGACCCACAGTTCCCCGACTCTGGATCTGCCCCTGCCGTATATTCAAATTTAAAACATCTTTTTTTCAGTTCAATTTTTTCATCATTGTCTCTATGTTCATTACGTTCATGGTTACATATTTTATTTGCTTATGAATCATTTTCTGCCAAGAGTATATGAGTATTAATATTAATAAAAAGACTAAGCCTATTTCAATGTACTTCTTTTATCGTGATTGAGAAGTATTTATAAATATTATTTATTGTTATAAAACATATTTTTTTTAATATTTAATCCATATTTCAAATAACAAAATTGTTTTATTCTAACATGTGCTATTGCCTAATATTTTAGTAAAAATCGTTTTCAAACTTAAATGAGAGTGTGTAAAAACTATTACAACTTTAACACACTTCAGTATTCCATCGGTTAATGTTTTAAAATAAATTGTTGTAAATAAAAAGCATTTAAATTTGAATAATATTTTTGTTGGCATACCGTGACGGGAGCAACAATGAGACAGGTAGGTAATGTATGTCTAATATTATTTGTCTTATTCTATTCACGTTTGTTAAATATTGTTATTCTTACAAATTATGATTTTTATAATTCCTTCCCATTGTATATATTAATATTAATAAAATTTGAAAGTTATACTAGTATTTTATTTGATTTTTCACTAAGTATGGACTAGACAAAAAACCCAATTCAGTATTCTCAGCAAGGTGTAATTTGATTTCGTTATGAAATGATCCAGATTAAAAAAATTTGAAATGTGTATCTCACATATAATCAATTCCTTAATTACGGATTCAAGGGGCGATCGTCTCTTCACCCCCTCCCCTAAAATATGCCCATTCCCGCAAGTTTAAAACGGCTACATTGTGTTTTATAATCATTGGCCAACAAATAAAAAGCACTGTTTTTTCAATTAATTGTGACGATACTTCAATATTCAATTATACTATATTTATAATAACTAATATTTATTAAATATTAATATATAAATATATTAAATAAGTAGTTTATATAGCTGTATAAAATAATTGTTTAATTATGTATAATATTTATAACGAAACCAAAATCCTAGTAAGGATAATATGCAATTGAATTAAGAATATTGTAGAAAAGTAATTAAACAACGACTAATTAGGGTCCAAAAAGAACAGAAATACTAGAGATGAGCATTTTAGGAGGGGGTGAAGGAGGCAATCGACCCGGGCGCCAACATTTTAGAGGCATTTCAAAATTATAGAAAAAAAACCATTAAATTTATAAGTATGTGATATTTTATAATTAATCACCATTAAAATGAAACAATAATAATTTTTCTTAATAAATCATATTTAACATAGGTATTAATTATAATTAATAATATTAATAAAACATAATGTCATTTTATAATTAGAATAACATTGTTTTATTTGTAAATTACATTACATTGTAAATATTTATAATTTATGAAGTAAACAAAACACGTCTATGTAACTGTATACATATTTTATAATTATTGAAGTAATTTTTAAGGATTCAATACATGGAAACATCACTGTAAAAATAACACGTCATTGTTCAGAATCTATAATAAAATTAAAAATACATTAATAAATCACGAAGTACTGGTTTTATTTAACTGTTTTTACAATTTATTTTGAGAGTAAATCTATACATATTTATTAAGAGCTATTAAATATTTATAAAAATCATTTATATTTTTAAAATTTTTTAATATTTATCGATAGAGAACTTGATTTTTATGTCTTACGAATGATTATATATATATAAATATATATAGGTTACATATATATACATATATATAGATATAAAAAACAATGACTTTTGTTGAAAAGAAACACAAAACTCACTTTTTATTCAAAAACTTTTTGTGATAAACATCCTTCGACATTTTATAAATTACAATTATATTTCTTGGTGGCTTATTGATTATTTCATTAGCCTTGATTATCTTTTTTAAATTGTCAACATTTTCTTTAAGATTTTATTAAACTTTCAAAATTATTTTTATTCAATTTTAAAAGCACGCTAGGCCGTTTTATAATTCATTTTGTTATTCATAGAGATTAACCTACATTAATTTTATAATATATAATCTAAACGGCAATAATAACTTGTCCGTTTAATGTTGATAAATATTTAAATAACATACCAAATTTAATATATGTGCTAAATAGTATTTAAAGTGTTTTATTTTTTGTTTTAAATTTCCGATTTCCGCTTTACACTTGAATAATTCATCAGCATTTTTTTTTTTTTCATTCTTTTCATAAGTTATACATGTCTCCATATTTTCCTGAAATAAAATAAAATATAAGCACATGGTGAGGTACTGTGATGATTAACCGTTATGGTTAATAGACTCTGCGTCCAAACTAAGTGACCACTGACCATGGTGCACCCGAGATTTTAGCAAGAATATTATTTAAGATATCATACATGATGTGCCCTCGAAATTCTAATAAACCACATATGCCTATACGCCTAAAAATACAATCCTAAATGTTTGCTTACTAAAACCAAATGTTATGACGGCTGAATTTAATGAAAATTGTGTAATAAATAAAATAATTTTACTGTAATAATTAATAATTGTGTGTTAATATAATACAATGAGTATACAATACTTTTTCCGTTTTTAATGCTTCTATTTCTGTTTCGAAATGTTCAATTGAACGACGACATTTTTGTCGTTCATCGCGTAATTCTAGTCTTTTCATTCTTAAATTACTTTTGAGTTCGTCAACTTTTATCTTACATTTATCTTTTTTTTCCTAAAAAATCAAACTTCACTATTAGTTACTAAACATGATCAATATTTAATGTTGTTAATTAAATTATAATTAATTTAATGTTTAATTCGTGGGATATTATTACCTTTATTCTCTTATTATAACTTTTTAACTCAGTTAATTGTTTATGTTCTTTATTATACTTTTTCTTTGTATAATGCAAGTCTCCTTTTAAATAATTAATTAGCAAACTCAAATCTTTGGCTGAACGTTTAAGATTAGTTTCGTTTTTACGAAGGTCCAAAATCTTTTTATATTTTGCCTACAAAGTTCAAAATATTATAAACGCATGATAATTATAAATGCTTTCTGATAAGTTACATAAAAATAAAAGTATATATAGATTAAACGCATTAAAGTCGTATTGCAGTTTA